TTTAGATTATTCTATTTTTTCTGGGACCTTGAAGTGCATTCATTAGATTATTTCTTGGAGCTTATTCAAATGTAAGTATTCATAGCAGTAAAGTTCCCTCTTAGGAAGTTCTATGTTCCAGAGGTTCTGGTATATTGTATAGGCATTATCATTTGACTGTAGAATTGTTTAACTTCTAAGATTTCTTTTGTGACCAATTAAGTACTCGGTTATGGTATTTAATGTCCAAGTGTTGCCAGGGTTTCTGTGGTTTTATTAATGATAGAGTTCTAATTTCAATGTGCTATGATCTGATAGTGCATACACAGAATGGTTTCAATTCTTTTGTATTTATTTAAGCACGCTTCATTGTCTAGTATGTGGCCTGCTTTGGAAAAGGTTCTGCATGTTGCTGAGCAAAATGTATATTCTGTTGTAGGAGTAGAACACTTTGTATATATCAATTAAGTCTGGTTGAAGGTGTAGTTCAAATCTGGTGTTTCTTTGTAGATTTTTTTGTCTAGTTGTGAAAGTAGAGTGTTTAGATCCTCCATTATGACTGTGTTGTTTGGTACTTGGTCTTCCGTGTACAGTAGTATTTGTTTTCTGAAGTTAGGTGCATTGACATTTGGTGTGTATATATTCACAATTCCTGTCCCTTCTTATTAAATTATTAATAGAAACTTAACTAATGTGTAGTGACCTTCTTTGCTCTTCTGATTAGTTTTAACTTGAAATCCACCTCATCTGAGAAGAAGATTGCTATCGTTGCTTATTTTCAAGGTCTTGATGCATGGAATATTATTATCTATCTTCTGATTTTTAACCTATGAATTTCTTTTTAAACTAGATGTGTCTCATGTATGCAACTGTTAGGTTTTGTTTTTTGATCCAGTCTCCCAGTCTGTGTCTTTAAATTGGCTAGTTGAAGACATTTATATAGAGATTATTACTGAAAGGTCTTGACTTATTCCTGTCTTTAAGTTATTTTTGTGTTGTTGATTCTCTTATTTTTCCCTTTCTGTTCAAGCACCCCCCTGCTTACCTATTTATTTCTCTAGATTCTTTAGCTTTGTTAGCATCATTGTCTTTAGAGTATCCCATGAGTTTCCAAAAGGTTGTCATGGAATGTCCTTATTTCTCAATCAATTTTGAAAGGTAGTTTTATAGGCTATAGTATTCTAGATTAAAAGTTGTTTTCCTTTAGGCCTTGAAATAGTTCCTTCCAAGTTGGTCTGGCCTTTAGAGTCTGTGTTAACATACTGTAATGCTAATGTGTTTACTTTTATAAATGATTTTTTTGTTTTTCTCTGACAGCTCTTCTTATTCTCTTTTGGTCTTGGACTTTGGGGATTTTGACTATGGTGTGTTGTAGGGAGCTTCTTCTTTCATCCTACTTATGTGGAGTTTTATATGTATCTCTTACTTGTATGTTGAGGTCTTTCCATGTACTTGGATTTTTCTTACTATGATTTCTCTACATAGATTTTTTTTAGCTAATGCATGCACTCCTCTACTTTTTCTCTAATTATAATTACTCTATGTTTATTCTTAGCATCATCTAGTAGCAGTTAGATCAATTTTTCTTGCACTTCTATTGTTTTTAAGCTATCTCTGCATATATTACCTTGTGCTTACACTAAGGTCTCAAGGTCTGACGCTCTGTCCTCACATTGGTCACTTCTATTGTTCATATAAAGACACTCTTTGTTTAATGACTGAGTTTTATTCTTGCAGTTAGTTCATTAGATGAGTTCACTAAGTGAGGAATTATATAGAATGTGTACATTACAAAATTCAAAATGAAGAAATGGGCTAAGGAAACTCCAACTTGATAATTTTCTTCTTTTATTTGCTTAACTCTTCCATGTAGTACTATCATATATAACAGAACATAAAATTACTGTAAAGGGGGCTGGGGATTTAGCTCAGCGGCATAAGCACCTGCCTTGCAAGCAGGCAGTCGTGAGTTCGATCCCCAGTACTGATAAAAAGGAAAAAGACCAAAATAAAATAAAATAAATAAAATTACTGTAAAGAACAATTAACAAAATTTACAGTATCATATAAGCAAGATGTTCTGTAAAAAAGGGGGAGGAAGAAGAGGGGCAGCAAAAGGCACCAATGAGGCACCATAAACAAGATTACAGAACTATACCCCCGCCAAATATATAGTTCAGTCCAAGCCACAGGTTGTAAATCTGACAACATGCTTCATTGTAAATTCAAACAATCATTAAACAGGTAGGTTGTTGAGGGTATGATGGTGCATACCTGTAATCCCAGCTTTAGGGAGACAAAGGCAGAAGGATCATCTCGAGTTTGAGGTCAGCCTGGACTATGCACAGAGACCCTGTCTCAAAGCTAATAAAAAAACAGGTAGGTCTTTAAATAAGTACCTGTATTCAGGAAAATTCTTTATCTCTGGGATTTCTGTTTAGTACCTCTTCATGGACTCTATTTCTTTGGTAAATTTTTCATTCGTGTTTTGAATACTTATGATTAGCTCCTCCAATTTTTTATTTGACTCATCTTTAACTACATTGGTCAATTTATTTATTCCACTCTCTGCCTAACTATATCCTCTTTGAGTTTGCCCAGTTTCTTTGCTTCTATGTTGAACATTTTGTATAGCTCAACTAGTTAGTGTTTGATTTCCTCTCCATCAGTGCCTCTTGGATCTGCTTCAGGAGAGTTAGGAGTCTATAGAGGCATTTTGTTGCTGTGTGTTCAGGGCTGAAGTCAAACAAAGCAGAGAGACTTTGTTTTTGGTAGGAAGATGTCTTTAGTTAGATCCTGTTTTCCAGTGATGCGATCATGGCTTTTGTTTGTCAAGAGGTATTATCCACCACTTCAGCCTATTTAATTTAATTGGACTAGCCCTAACTGTGTTGTAAGAAGATAATTTTAACTGGTTATAACGGCATCCACAGAACCAAGCATACATCAATCAAAATTTGTTTTGACAATTTTCCCCTTGTATCAGTGCCCCTTACAGACTGTGCTATACTTGGCATTTAATCTGGTTTGTGCAAGAAATAGAGAAGGAAAGAAAAAAAAGAAAAAGAAATGGGTAAATTATTAGAAGGAGAAAGAAATAAGAGAAATGTCAGTGAAAATAGGATGTATTGGAGATATTTTTAGGACTGGAATGAAGGGTTAGTGTCTCAGGGGTTTGAGAGCATTCGTGGATGCAGGAGAAAGGACACAGAGGGAAGGAAGTGTGGTAGATGGAGAGAATTTATGAGGTTGTTGAAATATGTTAATATATTTATAGTTAGTTTTGCTTCCTTTCCCTTTCCTTCCCTTCCACCTCCCTATCATTAGCTTCAAAGTAGTTTTGTTTATTCATTTACTTACATACTTTTCTGAGAATTCTTATTTAAAAATCAAGACCTTTGTCCAGTGTCACAAGTTTAGTGAAAGAAAAAGCATATTTGTGTCCAAATTACAATAAAATATTTGAGGCATGTGCAAGTATGTAGCATTTTTATGAATCCCTGCTTGCTGAATGCTGCTCATGGTATAACTGGTAAAGGAAATTTCTAAGGTTCTTTCAAATAGTTAAAAAAAAAAAAACCCTCAGAGTTACAGAGATCCAGAGATGTTTTCTATAATTGAAATGGTAACAGTCAATGCATCTGAGGGGCAGGATGCTAATCATTGGTACCCTCTTGGAACAAGAAGTTTTTTTTTTTTATCATAGTAAGAGGCAATATAAATGTCTTTTCAGAAGTACCTAGCTTAGACAAATGTTATTCAAACTGGTAGTTGAAAAATCAGTGCAGTATTTCATTAAGTTTTTTAAAGAACAAAATTTAGTGTCTCAGTGTGTTCATTGCTTTTCTTCAATTGCTGAGACAAAATACGGGATGCCCAAAGTTAAGCAAGGAAATGTTTATTTAGCTCACAGTTTGTGGAGGTTTCAGTCTGTAATCAGCTGGCTCCGAGGTAGCATGGCATGGCAGAGGGGCAACAGTTCATGGTGGCAGAAGACAGCAAAAGCAACCAGATCAAACAGGAAAGAACAGGTGAGAAGATTATTTCTGTGCCTTATATTGTATGTAGACCACACTCACCTGGGATGTGGCACTTTGGTATGGCACTCACACCCATAATCCTAGCATTGGACCATGAATTAGTCACAAACTGTAGAAGCCTGCTGCCATGACCCCACGAGGCTTTGGGGGAACATCCAGACATTAGCCATAACACTCAAGTAAGAAAAAAATATTAAGTTTGGAATTGCATGATTAGAATCAGAGGGTCCTGCCTGAGTCAAAAGCTACAGATCGTTCTACTTTTTTAAAAAAGAAACTTTATTTCAAGAATGCAATTTTGTAGACAGAGCAAAAATATAAATTAGAATAAAAATAAAACTTAGAAGATGAAGTGACATGATGCATGAAGTTAAAGATCTGCTATTTAAAATTGATCAGTGGAAAGAAAAACAAAGGGAAGCAAGCAGGGAAGAAAAAAGAGAAATTAAAGAAGTATAGTAAAATGCTGCTAATCATAGATTCTGGAAAATAGGTATATGAAGGTTTATTATATTATTCTCCTTGTATTTATTATGTTTGGAAACTTTTCTCATACAATTAAAAAGTGAGCTAAAATGGAAGGAACAATTGATATTGCAAATGCTAGATGGTGTTTTGGGTTCTGATCTTGTTTTCTTTTATAGGTATTTTATTTACATTAGCTACAGGAGCAGAGTGTGCAATTAGTTCTTAATAGTTAAGTACAGCTTTAGAGTCCTGGAAGAGAGCTGATTACATCTTCCTTTAGTACATTGCTCAACATAGTGATTAAGGAAAAATACGCATGAGCACAGATAAACATGCTCACAATTAGGACACTAAACTTTAGAGGAAAACATCTCTGGCTAATTCTGAGTATAAAAACACATTAAGAACAAAAGAAAAAATGAATACAAAGTACACTCTAAGTGTTTCTGAGTGTAGTTTTACTCGGAGAACTACAGTGAGCAGTAACTTTAGCTAACTTCTGTTCTTTTCTAGGGAGAACTGGAACTATGGTTTGTGTCTGCCTCATTGCCAGTGGATTATTTTTAACTGCAGAGGTATGCCAGGTGCTACTGTGTCCTCTGTCTTACTGACTGAACTTACTGTTTCTGAAATACCACTGGTGAAATATTAACATTTACCCTTTCAGGGTAAATAAGAATCAAACCAGAGAACAAAAAGTAAGAAGAAAATGTTCAAATGGAAAGAGGAACAAGAAGGGATAGGGAATGGAAGGAATATAATAAGGATAAAATGAAAACCAAAAAAAGACAATAGAAAACAAATAATAGAAATAAAATTTTTTAAAGGGAGAGGAGAAGAAGGATTGAAGGGGAAGGAAGGGAGTGGAGAAAAAAAGAATTGCAATATATGATGAACAGGTACACATTCTCTATACTAAATGTGATGATTCTGCACATCAAAAGTATACCAATAAAATTAATTTTTTAGAAGGATATTATTTGAATCATAATACTTAAGTAAAATTGGAGAGGTAGATTTTAGAAAGCCTGGTTTGGATACTTCCTTTTTAACTGGAATGCCAAAAATCTCACTAACCAACATAAATAACATGGTAATGCAATACTTTTTTAAAAAAATAAAAGCTACTGCCCAAAAAATTCATGATATATACATTACCAACATTTTAAATAAAGGCAGGACCTAGAAGGGGCAAGATTAGGGTAAAGTGAGTTATACAAATGCAAAGAGCTTTTATGATCAAGATGCTTCACTCACTTTCCTACTGGTCATGTAATTTCTTTGTTTCTCACAATAATTATATCAAATAGCCAGGCACAATGGCCAATGCCTGTAACTCAGCACGTGGGAAGCTAAGGCAGGAGGATTGCCATGTATCTGAGTTCAGGCTGGGCTACATAGTGAGTTCAAGGTCAGCCTAGAATATATAGTGTGGCCCTATCTTTAAAAAAAAAAAAAGAATCTCTTTCAGAATTAAGATATTTCCAAGGCAAAGAACAACTGAAGAAATTTGTGACTACCAAACCATCTCTACAATGTGTTTTGAAGGTATTATATATAGAGAGAGATCATAATGCTCACAAATCCAAGAACAGCAATAGGAATAAGCCACCAGGTAAAGCAAGCAATTAAACAGAAAAGAAAGACTAGGAACCAGCAACAGATAATAACATGATAAAGATAAATCAATATGTATTAGTTATAACCATCAGTGTAAAGGGTCTTAACTCATCGATCAAAAGAAATAGACTGAAAGAATTAAGAAACAAGACCAACAATGTGCTACATACAAGAAACACATTTAACTCAAAAAGGAATTCATAGACTGAAAGTTAAAGGATAGAAACAATATTCCATTTAACAGAAACCCAGAGAAAAGCAAGAGTAGCTATTCTATTTGCAGACAATGTGACCTTCAAACTGAGACAGATCAAAAAAGATAAAGAAGGTCACTACATCCTTGTTAAGGGAAAACTCCAAGAAGAGATTACAATCATAAATATATGTACCAAATATAGGAGCACCCAACTACATAAACAAATGTTAATGGACATGAAAAATCAAATACGCACTAACACGATCGTCATGGGGAACTTTAACACTCCATGCTCAAAAATAGATAGATCAACTAGACAGAAAAATCAGTTAATTACAGAACTAAACCAAATCTGTGAGCAAATGGACTTAATAGATATCTACAGAATGTTCCACCCCACAGCATCAGGGTACACATTCTCTCAGCTGCACACAGGACATTCTCCAAAGTAACCCGCATACTAGTCCACAGAAATGTGTAAGTAAATGCAAAGGAACTGAAGTTATCCCATGCATATTATCTGACAATAGTGCAACGAAACTGGAAATTAACAGCAAAAGAAACCACAACAACTGCATAAATACATGGAAATTAAGTAACACATTTCTCAACAACCAATGGGTCAAAGATGAAACTAAAGAAGAAATTAAAGAGTATCTGTTATGGTTTGTGTCTGGATGCCTCCCAAAAGCCTCATGCAGTCATGGGGGCAGGATTCTAGAATTTATGATTGATTTATGGTCCAATGCTAGGATTATGAATGTGAGTGCTACACTCACCTTTGGTGGGTAAACTACCAAAATACAAGGGATAGAAAGAGTCTTCTCTCCATACTCTGCCCCTTTTGGCTCTTGTCACTTTTGCTGTTTTTCACCACCATGCTCTGTTGCCAAGTGCTATGTACCACTCTGCCTTGGAGCCTGCTGAGTATAGACTGAAAAATCCACAAACTACAAAACAAATAAATCTTTCCTCTTTTAACTTTGGGTGTTTGATATTTTGTCCCACAGTAAGGAGAAAGTAACCAAAGCAATATCTACAACTAAATGATAATGCTGATGCAATATATTGGAACTTATAGGATGAAATGAAAGCAGTCCTAAGAGGGAAATTTATACCAGTTAGTATCCATATTAGGAAGACAGACAAAGCTCAAATAAATAATGTAATGTTGAATCTCAAACTTCTAGAAAAGAAAAAAAAAAAAAAGAACATGTCAAGCCCAAAGCTTATACAAGGGAAAAATTATAAATATCAGAGCAGAAATTAATATAATTGAGACTAAGAAAAACAATACAATCAGTGAATCAGAGTTAGTTCTTTGAAAGAATAAATAAAATTGATAAACTTTTAGCCAACCTTATTACACAAAGAAAAGACTCTAGTTCATGCACTCACAAACGAAAGGGTAAAATCACAACAGACCCTGCAGAAAACCAGAAGATCATCAATATCTACTTCAAGAAACTTTGTTCTAATACAATGGAAAATACAGATGAAATGGACAGATTCCCAGATACGTATGAACTACCAAAGCTAAATCAAGAAGATATAAAATTCTAAATTGCTCTTTATCAATCAAATAAATTGAAAATGTAATTAAAAACCTACCAACAAAGAAGAATCATGAAGAATCATGGTCCTGATGGATATAAAGTTCTACATAAAATTTAGAGAAGATCTAAGGTCATTAATCCTTAAGCTCTTCAGTGAAATAGAGAGGCAATATTCCCAAATTCATTGCTGGAGGCAAGTATTACCCTGATACCAAAAGCAGAGAAAGATCCAACCTAAAAAGAGAATCACAGGCCAATATCCCTAATGAACATAGATGCAAAAATCCTAAATAAGCTACTGGCAAAGAGAATGCAGCAAAGCATTAAGAAGATTATATACAATAACCAAGTAGAATTCATTCCAGGTATGCAGGATTGATTCGACATATAAAATCAATAAATGTAGCACACCATATCAACAAAGTAAAGGATAAAAATCACATGATCATCTCAATAGATGCAGAAAAAGCATTTAACAAAGTCTAACACTCATTCATGATAAAAACCCTATAGATAGTCTTTATCCCAGTCTGATAAAAGCTATCTATGACAAACCAACAGCCAACATCATACTAAATATGGTGAAAAACTGAAAACTCACTCTAAGACAGGGATGTCCACTATCACCACTCCTATTTAATATAGTCCTGGAAACATTAGCCAGAGCAATTAGACAAGAGAAAGAAATAAATGGAATAAAAATAGAAAGGAAGAAGTTAAATTATCATTACTTGCAAATGACATGATACTATATATAAAAGATTCCAAAAACTCCAGAAAACTTATAGATTTAATAATCAAATTCAGTAATGTAGCGATTATAAAGTCAACACTCAAAAATCAATAGCATTCCTGTGCACTACAACAAATTCACTGAGAGAAATTAGGGAAGCCACACCCTTCACAATAATGTCCAAAGATTAAATATTTAAAAATAAATCTAATGAAGTAAAAGATCTATACATTGATGATAACAGTTCTCTGAGAAAAGGAGATCAAGGCAAATATCAGAAAATGGAAAAATATCCCTTGCTCCTGGATAGGAAGAACCCACATAGTGAAAATGGCCATACTCCCAAAATTGATATACAGATTTAATACAATCCTGGTCAAAATACCATTAGGATACTTTACAGAACAAGAGAAAACAATCCTAAAATTCATTTGGAAAGAGAATACACCTAGAATAGTGAAAGCAATTCTGGGCAACAAAGGCAAGGTAGGGGCCATCGCAATCCCTGACTTAAAATTATACTACAAAGCTACTGTGATAAAATCAGCATGGTACTGGCAAAAAAACAAACCTGAGGGTCAGTAGAACAGATTACAAGATGCAGACAATTCTCTAGAAAAAAGATAGCCTCTTTAATAAACAGTAACAGAAAAACTGACTTTCCACATGCAAAACACTAAAATTAGACCCTTGTCTATCACCATGTACTAACCTAAAACCAAAATGGGCCAAAGATCTAAATATTAAAACAAGAACCACTAAATCTACTGGAAGAGAAAATAGGTAGAAATCTTGAAGACACGGGCATAGCAAGGGACTTCATAAACAAAATCCAGACCACACAGGAAATACTTCAAAGAATAAACAAAGGGGATACCATTTTATTAAAAAGTTTTGCACATCAAAAGAAATCAACAGAGTGAAAACATAACATACAGAGTGTATAGACTGGTGCAATCATTGTGAAGGTCAGTCTGGAGATTTCTCAAAAAGCTGGGATTGGAAGCCCCATTTGACCCAGCTATTCCACTTTTAGGCATATTCCCAGAAAAACTGAAAACATCATACCACAGTGATATATGTGCAAACATGTTTATAGCAGCACAATGTACAATAGCCAGATCTTGGAAATAACCTAAGTGTCCATCAACTGAGGAATGGATAAAACAGTGTTGGTATTTTTATACAATGGAATACTACTCAGCTATAAAGAATAATCACATTGAGATATTTATAAATAAATGGGTGCTGCCTTGCAAGCAGGCAGTCGTGAGTTCAATCCCCGGTACCGATAAAAAGGAAAAAGGCAAAAAAAAAAAAAAAAAAAAAAAAGGGCACAGCTTGAGACCATACTCAAAAGTGAAATAAATCAAACTCACATGTATAAATATCAAATAGTTTCCCTAGTGTAAGAAATGGTAAGAATACATAAAAGTATGTGGTAATCATGATTCCCCATTATATTGCTTTGAAGCCTTATAATGTTTTCATTCTTTAATTGGAATGGTTTTATTCTTGGTTGTTTGATTTTATGGTCTGTGATGGTATGAACAGTTATTTTGAAGAAAACAAGACATTATAATAGCTAGTGCTGATTTAATATCATCTTGTTTTGAAGTCCTACCAAGCTTTTGTTCTTCTGTCTCCATCGGTTTTATCATGTTGTATCTTATTGGATTTTATTGTATGTAATAGTATAAACACAAATTTTTATAGACAAGGAGATAAAATACAAACCATTGTTTTTTTTTTCTTTTAGTTGGTTCTAAATACCCTGTAATACTTTCATTCTCTTGAATGGTTTTACATTGTCTTATTATGTTTGATGCTATAGTACATGAAGGTATACTCAAATATTTCAAGGAAAGAGACACTATGGTAACTACTGTTATGTCAGGGTATGTGGTGAAACATTATGTTGCTTAAATTGTTCTGTTCTGACCTGTGATAAACCAGAGTGGGGAAAAATTTTATTCAGTTGTTCCTCAGACAAAGAGCTTATATCTAGAACATAAAAAGAACTGAAAAAATTGGACCTGCCAAATTCAAAGACCCAATGCAAAAAATGGGCAGCTGACATGAATATGTACTTCTCAGATAAAGAAAAACAAATGGCAAATAAATATATGAAAAAATGTTCAACATCATTTGCCATTCGAGAAATGCAAATTAAAATAACACTGAGATTCCATCTCACTCCTGAAAGAATGGCTATCATCAAGAACTCGATCAGTGACATATGCTGGAGAGGGTACGAGGAAAAAGAAATCCTTCTCCACTATGGTGAGAGGGCAGACTGGCGCAGCCACTGTGGAAATCAGTATGGAGTTTTCTCAAAAAACTAGGACTAGGGACTCCATTTGACCCAACCATTCCCCTTTCTGTATCTTTCAAAAGAAAAGCATCATACCACTGCAATATCTGTGTACCCATTTTTAGAGAAGCAGTTTGTAATAGCTAATCTTGGAAATAACCCAAATGCCCATCAAGTGAGGAATGGATTAAAATGGGGTCTTTTTATATAATGGCATAATACTCAGTCATAAGGAATTATAAACTCAAGACGTTTATAAGTAAATGGATGCAACTAGAGGCCATACTCATAAGTGAAATAAATGAAACTCACATGTGTAAATGTCATATTGTCTCACTGCTGTGAGGAACTACAAGAATAAATAAAATCCAGAAGGAACAATAGATATCGTGAAATGGGAAGAAAGTGTTCAAAAGGAAAAAGAATCTGAGATAGGGGAAGGGGAAAGGAAGGAAGGGAAAAGGAAGAGAATACAATACAAGATAGTTATACTACTAGTTTATCTTGGTTCGTTAAAAAGGCAGATTTGTGCTAATATTGTTCAGAGCATTTTTAATGCTTGTACTTGTACTCTGATTAACTACTTTAAAGACAACAATACTCAACGTATTAGCTGTTGTTATTCTACTATTTTATTATGAAATGTAAAACATTTTCCCATTAAAAAGAAGATATTGAATACCCAAATTAATTAGATAAATTCTCTAAAGGGCCTGGACTCTTTTGAATTGCAAGGTCAAGTCATTTTCCAGCTCAGAACATAGTCTCTCAGGTATAGAGTTATTTCTGCATAGTCAGTATCCAGGGGCTCTGTAGATCTTTCTTGGAAACAGGTGAGCTGTTTCTATCTCCTCAAGCAGGGTTCTCAGCTATCATACTGCTGTGATCCTGCTGAGAAGTTACTGTTTACAGAACAATCCCCCAACAACCTTCTCATCTCTTGGCCTAAGTTTAGAAAAGAGAAGCTGCTGGATACCCAGCTCTCTAATCCCACCTGCTGCTTTTCTGATTTCTCATTTGAGACAGGAAGGTTTTGAAAATGGATGCTGTCTCCCCCCACATCCTCCAGGGGCGCAGCACTTGGTCTGTGGTCCTTGGGTTGGTCAGTGGGGCCAGTGCCTGAGGGTGTGTGGAAGGCAGAGGGGGAAGGGTAAAGAAAAAAATGGTGTTCTAGCAGACTGGTTTTCAAAGTATATGTTGTCATCAGTGAATTCTAAAATTGAATTACTAGATTTTGATTAGCATTTTTTAAATAATAATAGAGTAGAATGGAAAGTATTAAAAGACAAGTGTTCTGGGTGCATTAGTGCGTGTGAGAGAGATAGGTTTATTAATGTGAACTATTGTTTCAAAAATAAAATAGTTAAAAGCCATTGATCCAGAGCTCTAGACTGGCAGCTAGGCTCTGCTACTGGCAGGGCTGTGCTACTTCTAAATGGCTACTCTGAATCCATAACAGCTCATGTGATTTCTTCGGAGCTCAGCCTTCTAGTCTATAAAATGGAAAATAGAAAGATTGGGCTAAAAAATTTCTAAGGTGTCTGATAGGATGGCACATGCCTGTAGTCCCAGCACTCAGGAGGCTGAGGCAGGATTGCTTTAAGTCATCGTCCAGCCTGGGTTACAAAGTGAATCCAGGACCAGTCTGAAATGCATAGCAAGACCTACACTCAAAACTACAATAAAGAAAAGTAAGAAAGAACTTCTAAGTATTTCCAGCTCTTCAATTCCATGTCTTTATGAATTTCAAACTAGCGAAGTTTTTATGGCTTTACTAATTTTGTCATTCAGGGTACCCTCCTCCCAAGTGTTGCTGGCTTAAGGAAATAATGTGCTTGCATTAATTTTAACAATGCATAGCGTAGGAGAGGGAAGCATGCGGTGGAAGCACCGTTGTATTATCCCCTTTTCTATAGGAGAGTATTCAGCATTTTGGGGAACGACGAACAGATAAAGCCAGCGGCACTAAATTTCAAGGAATAGAAACTCCTTCTCAGGTGAGTTTTCTTTTTTAAAGTGGGCGATTCTTTAGAGAAATGCGTTAGGATTATTTGGGGTTTTCTGGTTTTTCTTTGGCGATGGGACCTCACGGCTGGGAGTTCTTGGGACCCATCTGCCTGGAAAGCTCACTGTTTTGCCATAGGGCTTGCCTCACCCCAACATGGGTGATCCATTTCCAGCTTTTCAGGGGCTCTTTATAGATTTTCACTTCTCCTTTAAAGGAGAAACCAATCTTTGTACCATTTGCATTCCAGTGTCCCCACCCCAAGTCTCCTTTGTTTGCAGTGAGTGCTTTCTGTGGGTGGGTTGTATTAACTTTCTGCTACAAACCTTTGTTTTAAGCTTCTTAAGAAGGCAAAGTCAGAGCAAAAAAGCCTTGAGGGCCCTACTGACTTATATTCTTTAATAGAACATGGAGAATCTGGTGACAGGAGCCAGAATTATGTTAAATGTATTTACTTCAACAACTCTCCCTATTGGGTCCTGACCTAGATCTCTGATCTTCCAATGAGTATACAATGGAGGTTAAATAACAAGAGACAAATTGTATGAATTTTAACGCTCCAGAAGGGTCAAAATCCTTTAGTAGTTGAGCTCACAACTCCAAGGGGTATGACAAAGAGTTCTCTGGATTAGCCCACTTTTACTAGGACCAAGACAAAAGGCAGGGAAAGCACAGGAAATGAGCAGGACCTTGGGAGTCACTTCAAAGACTTATATAAGCCAATTTAGGAGACTCACCTTATCTCCAAGATAACATTTATATGGTGGGATTGAGACTGTAGGAGTGAGATGCTTGCAGCTGCTGTCTCTATTTACTTAATTAGTGTTGGAGCCAAGTGTCCACAGTTGTGTCCTTACCATGCCCTTTGAGGTATCTCTGGCCTCACAGGCCACTACAGGCCTCAGCCAGGACCAGTGATTCAGAGAGGTTCACTTACTATGAATCAGCTCCCATTGCCAGGCAAGGGGCCGTGGCCTAGGACAGACTCACAGATACACACAGAAAGCCAGTTAGTTAAATTTAAATCCTGCTCAGAGCCACTTTGTAGTGGTCTCCAACATCTGCCCATACATCTTCCCTTCCTTGTTCTGTGATCACTCAGTTTTCTGAACTTTAGTTCTGAACTAGCATACCCAGGCTCCAACCATTATGTTTTCTGATTCACTGGGATCCGAAACAACTCAAAGACTCAGCTGCAGGTTTGACATTGATACTGTTAAGGCCCAGGACAGAGTGCCCTCTGCTGGGTGATAATCCTTAGCACTGCCACATTCCGCCCTTGCATCGTGGTTCTTTATACTGATCACACTGCATCCACTCCTGCACTAGAGCTTGCAAGAGCCTCTTTCATCATAGTTCTTTCTATTACTGGCCACTTAGGATCATACACTCAGGTTTGTCTGCTCACTGCTGACCAGATCAGAGGAGGCTATAGATTTGGTTAAAAAGGAGAAAGGATTCATTTCAAGCTAGCTCAGAGGAGATACAGGGGCCTATTGCCTCAAATCATCGTCTTACCATCTACAGGAGTGCAAGGGTCTGTTACAGTAAGGAGCAGGGCAGCGGGGCACAGAGACACAGTGCAGATCTCCACACTTGGCTTCATCATCTCCAGCTCATCCTCTTCTTGCTTGTGAAAAAGAAGCCAGGCTGCTGGTCTCCTGGAATGGGCATCTTTATGTTCTGTCACTTCTTTTGGGCTGAGCAGAAGAGAGTTGGCTGTGGCAGGAGAAAGTTTAGAGAAGTTGTTTATCTCTAAAAGAAAAAAAAGCCTAACTTTTAAAGTTCTATTTCCCCTTGTCAGTTACATTTCTAGTTGAAATTGTGGCACTTAATCTTGTTAGCACGGTCCAGTTGATTCAGGATTAAAAGTCTTCAAGTCCTTGAAGAAAGGTCCAAGAAAATCCTCATGAGCAACTTGTCAAGAGGGTGCTGATGAGGTCAAGAGAATTCCAGGGCTTCCTTGCAAAAGCAGAATGGAAAGTGGAAAGTTAAAAAAAAACCATATCCAGCAGGAACAGAGAATGACGTGTAATCTGCCAGTGACATGTGGAAGGCTTCCTCTGCAGTCTCCACAGCGCCCTTCTCCCATGACTGTAGCCTCGAGCAAATCGCGAGCTTCCTCTAACTCAGTGACGTTTATACCCTGAGTTGATAACACTGTGGCTGGGTTTGTTCTTGGTTCTGACCGGGCGCCCTCTCCGTATAAGCAGCCCTGCCCGGGGAACTGAATCTCTCCATGTTCCTCCCCACAGCATGGGGCAGCACACACTAAAATGCTGCGTTATGCAATGATGCCCTACAAATGCATCCTTAATATAAATGTGCCTTTAAGGAGTGATCTGCAAAAAGAAAAAAGGAAAGGGGGTGGGGGAGGAAGGCACTGGGGAAGAAAGGAGGGGTTTGGGAGGGAGAAATGAATTCTGACTTCAGACGTTTCATCCTCGCTTAAACCAAGGCTTCTGTTGCTTTGCAGGGTAGATATGTTGGATATTTTGAAAAGATGATGACATTATACAACTGGAATCTCCCTCCAAGAAAAATACTCACAATAAAAAAAATCATTATTTATTCGATTCATGGTAAGTGCCGTATTTACAACTGAAGGCCTGGGCAGGATTCCCACTAATTGGGAGAGTTTTGTTTGTAGTGAAGTATACACATACACATGATCCTAACTCCACAACTGTCTTTCCCGTTCCTCCCCTGGAACTGCCCATCTGCCAGGTGAGGCATTGTATTGTCAGCTCTCTGTTGTCCATCTGCTTCCCTTTCTCCTCATTCATGGAGGGCTCCATCCTTTTCTCTTCTCTCTTCTTATTCTCATTGTTCCCCTGGCCTCAGACAAGGGCAGACCCTTCGGGGTACGGTCTTTGGCAGAAGTGAGAAAGACCCACGAGCGTCTAAGAGTACTTCTTTCCCAGCCCCAACTCTGACTCAGGCTCATCCTGGCAAAGGCATCCTGGATCGTTTTCTCACCTGCTCCTTTCAGAGGCCCTTTTTTCTCATCACCGAGGTTTCTTCCTTTCCCTGCTCTCCTCCTGTAACCCTCTCACCCCCAGCGCCTCCATTTAAATACCCGATGAGCAAGTGTTTTGCTTTATTTGTTGCCATATAACTATTGAGTATGTGTTTGAGGTCGGACCCCACGCTATCCTCCCTTCCCTGAGGGTGTCCCTGGGTGATCACTAGAGAGAAATGCGTACATAGATAAACATCAGATCACATTGCTACAACACAGAGTCAAGGGAAGGGATAAGAAAAGCTTCCTAAAAGGCTGCACTTCTGTCCTCCCCTGACCTGAATCTCCATGAACATTTCAAGGTTAGGAGGAAGCAGGGCTGGGTGGGAGTCTCTTCCAGCCCTCTAGTAGTAGTAGTAGTAAAAATCCTTACCAGTTTGCAAGCAGTTTAACTGCTTCCAGAATGCAAGGAAAGAAAAAAGCTGTGGCTGAAAAGTCGCCATCGCCCAGGCAAGCAGACAACAGGTCAGACTGTCTTTTTCTGGGTTATGAGAAGAAGCAGCAGGGAGAGCAACCAGCCTCCAGCCCGTGTCTGTTCCTCCATCTCCCACCGTGCTTCTGCTGCAAGGATCACTCTCTGGAGAGGTGGGAACATGGGCGTCTCACCTGGCGCTCGTCAGAGAAGCAGCAGGGGGGTGATACTTCTGAGCAGGACAGTTATGCCAGCCAGATCACATACCATGGGGAGACGCTGAGCCCAGACCTGTAGGCCCATGGTGCCAGGATGCTAATATCCACTCAGATAGCCTAGGGGTCTGGCCTTCTGAGGAGTCACACAAAACAACATCGAGACATGTTTTCTTTCATATTTTGTCCAATTATTTGGAAATTTTAAAAAGCATTTAAAATATAAATGAATAATTATTCATTAAAATGTAAAGTGCTTTTTTCAAATTATTTGCTAAAATTCCCCTGGGAATTTTAATGGCATTCTACAAACAGATTACAAAAGTTTCTGGCTTCTGAAAGCAAATTTCAAGCCACCGTTTCTGGGGAAATTTTGGCCTAGATTTCTGACCAAGCATTGTACAGGCTGAGTCTTGAAACTCAGCCTGTTGGAGCAGGAGGCTGCTTGAGCAATCGTCTGTGAAAAGCCTTTGTAGACTACAAATTCCTGGACAAAGTTCACTTTGTACTGTATCACAGGACCCTTGTGAAGTGTGAGGGCTGGAGTCTTATGGCTGGGCTGACTCAGGACCCCCACTGGAGGCAGGCCTCTCACAGCAGAGGCACCAGGCTTGCCTGACAGATGGTAGAAGTCTGGAAACACCACTGTCCTGCTCCCCTTTCTTTCCAAACTCTGTGAGGCCCAAAATAAAAGATCCAGACTGCTTTATGTGCATACTCTGCCTCAATTTCTCCTCTGTTACCAATGGGATTAACAATATCAATACAAATGTCTGCTGGCAACAAGCATTAGGCTGTGTTAGCCTTCTGTTACTGTAACAGATACTTGTGGTACATCAGTTTACACAGATAAAAAGATTATTTTAGCTCACAGTTTGGAGGTGTCAACCTATGAATGATTGGCCCTGGTTCCTCCTCTGTGGAAAGAGGAAGTATGCATGGTGGACCAAACTATTCACCTCCTAGCCAGGGGGCACAAGAAAGAAGAGAAAGGGCTGGGGTCCTAAGGTCGTCTTCAAGGGCATGGTCCCTGGTCCCCTCCAACCTCCCAGTAGACCTGGGTGTCCTCACAAAGGTGTCCACCACCTCTCAATAATGCTACACGTACATGGTTTAAAATGTTTAAATGTGTGAGAATTAAAATCAATACTGAGTCCTTATCATGTGGTTATCAGTATTTGATTTTATTTAGTCCTACATTTTACTGGTTTCCCGTAGACATCAGTGGAAGGGAGGTCTGCAACTGGGATGGGACCGAGGGATCTGAGGCAAGGAAATGGTGATTCCTAATAACACACTGACCACAGGGTGCTCACAAAATGCAATTAAATGAAAACAGTATGAAATGAGCAATAAGAATAATGAATGCATGGCAGTATTTGAAGGTGATATACACAGGGTTGAAAGGAAAGGGGAAAACGTTCATTGGAGGCTTCAGAAACCAGGTCTCTGGGGAAACGCTGTAGGAAGTGGGGTCATGTGGACAGAGAAAGAATGAAACCAGTGATCTGTAGTGTACACTAAACATTCAGGAATGCTTGGGGTAGCTATCCTGTGTTTTCACAGAAACTGCTTTAGAAACTAGATTGAAAGCAGGGCAAGAATTTAGATTTTCTGTTATTTTAAAGTACCATCATTAGAAGTCTAAAGAAAGAAACATGTTAGCAAGAAGGGTTGCAGGCCACCTTCCTGAACTTCTTTTTCTCTAGAAAAGCCCAGTGGGATTTTCATAGGGCTGAACTAAATGTTTGGCTTTTTTGTTTTTTCTTTCTGTCCAGTCTAAAACATTCTGCTTTGGGAGTCAGAATTGCCTTGAAGCCTTCTCTTTCAAAGACAAAATCATTAGAAGACTAAATGATTAAGTATCACCACACTGTTAACTGGAATTGTTTTCTTTTCTAAGTCCATGATGTTGACTGCATGACATTTCAATCTTTGCTTTAACCAGCACATCTTTTTAACTGTACTTAGGTGTTGGTAAAGGCAACGGGAGTGATCTGGAGGTGAAGATAGTAACGCAGCAAGGGACTGTCTTTTCCTGTTCTTCCACAAACTATAGGGTAAGCGAAAGCACATGAACTGACGTTTGGTGTTCTTTTGAAATCTCAATGCCAGTGAGCATGCGACTTTCCCAAACCATCATTTATCCCAAAGAGATGCCATGTTGCTTTGAGGTTACCAATACACCTTGGGGATGCTGATTTTGGATGAAAACTAGAATCCAGTCTACCTCATTGTTCAAAATAGTTTTCCAGGTCTCAGTGTTGTTCTGCCTTTCATTTTCCCACAAACGCTGAGCATATCCCCAGGGACCTATCATGGTTTCACATTCACTAATCTGGTCAGTTTTTGCCACGTTACCTTCTTGGTCATTTTATCTTTTATTGTATAGTATTGATTCTAAAATTTTAGTGTGTCTGAAAATTGCTAGGGAGTTTATAAAGATGCACATTCCTAACCTGCACTCCCTAAGTATTACACAGCGGGTCTGCAATGGGGCCCAGGTATCTAAGTTTAACAGTGTCCTCACTGACTGTAACTCAATGTTCTGTGGGATGTATCCTGAGAAGCAGTGTAGGGGTGTACTTATGAGCTGGGGAGAAACCTCTGTACCCAAAGTAGTAGGGCTTAGCTAAAATGCTGAAGAAATGCTTAATACCATAGATCTTTTCTAAAACAGTAAAAAAGTTTCTTTCATAGATCTTGTGTTTTAAGGTATCATTATTCTCCCCATACCCTTTGTTTTGGTCTCTACTGAGAGCATTCACATAGGCCTGATCCTTAACTTTCTATTGTTTCTTAAGGAGAATAAAACCAAACAAAAGGAAACAGAATAAAGCCAAGCAAAAAAACAACAATAACAATGAAAGTGATACATAACTTCAAAACAAGATAAAAGAAAATCAGCAATGGCTACCATAGTATATCTTGTTATCTTCTAAATAGCTGCTTATATCATCAGACATATAAAAGCAGACAAAACAAAATAGAATAAAACCAATGTAAATAAAGCAATGAAAGTGATACAGGACTTCAAAACAAGATAATACAAAATCAACAACAGCTACCATAATGCCTCTTGTTATCTTCAAAATACCTGCCCAAACCATCAGAGATAATAAAATCAAACCAAATAAAATGAAATAAAACCAATCGAAACAAAATAGTGAAAATGATACAGGACTTAAAAACAAGATAATACGAAATCGACAATGGCTACCATGATGCTTCTTATTATCTTCAAGATAGCTGCTTATATCATCAGACACAATAAAATCAAACAAAACAAAATAGAATAAAACCAAATGAAACGAAACAATGGAAATGATACAGGACTTCAAAACAAATAGTAGGAAATTAACAAAGGCTACCACTTCCCTTTTGAGATGTTTCTTCCCCCTTCACTTTCACAATATCTGTTGCACATTTTGGATCCCACTAACTCCTTCCATTTATTATACTAGGGAGACAACCTGATGTTTCCCTATGTGAATCCAAATCCCTTAACCTATGAGCATGATCTCAAGTTGCATCCATTTACCTACAAGAGCCTTGAGATAATCCTTCACGATAGCTGAGTAGCTGTCCATCGTATAAAACTATCATCTTTTTTATCCATTCTGCAGTTGATGGGTAAGTTACTCTTGCTTTTTTGAGTTTCTGTCACATGAAGAATTGTCTTCTCTCCTGTAACCTTCAGTCCTTTTGAGTCAAATGTGTTTCTTATACACATATCAGATCCTGTCTCCCAATCCATTCTGCCTGTGTTTCTTTTTATATTAATAGTTATGACTGACATACACTGGCTCATCTCTGCCATGCTATCCTCCTGCCATTACCCCCTACTTTTTCCCAGTCAGTTGCCTGCCCTGCTTGTGGTCCCCCTCTGCTGCTGTTCCTGAAACTGTGGTCATCTTTATCTCTCTCTAGAATATCCTTCAGCACTCTTTGTAGGGTTTGTTTGGTGGCCATTAATTCCTTCAGTTGTTCTTTATCATGGAAGTATGTTATTTTTCCATTAGTTTTGAAAGATAAGTTTTGTAAGGCACATCAATCTGGGCTGTAAGTTGTTTTCTTTCAGGACTTGAAATACTTCACTCCAGACTCTTCTTGACTTGATGGTTTGTGTTGAGAAGTCTTCCATGATTCTGATGGATTTTTTTTTATAGGTAATCTTTTTTTTTTTCTTTTCTCCAATAGCCTTTAATATTCTGTTTTTGTGCTGAATTTCTGGGATTTTGGTTGTTATTTGTCTGTGTGTAGATTTATTTTGGTTGTGGCTAGTTGGAGTTCTATATGGCCACTTATCTGTACGTCAGGTAAGTGCCATGCTTGGGAAGTTTTCCAATATTATTTCTGTAAATAGTCTTTTTATGTCATTTGTGCTGGCTCCTGCTATTTTGCTGACATCTGTCAGTCTTCTATTACTTTTCTTTGTGTCGTTTTGCAGCTGTTGAATTGTTATTTCCTGGTTCCCTGTTATTTTTAAGAGATCTTTTCTGTTGCAGCCACTAGCTGAAATTGTCTTCAAGGTCTGAAAGTTGGGCAGCCCACTCAGGATCCCTTGTATTTCTTAATAAATATATTCTGCTCCTTAAAAAAAAGTCTCCTTAAAAAAAAGTTTTTCCAGCTTTCAATGGAATTTTTAATTTCCTGGATATCTCTTTGAATCTGTTTCATGGATTATAATTCTTTCCTATATTGTTCATTCAAGGTTTCCATCATTTTCCTATGATCTTATTTATCTATGTTTTCTTTAGATATGCTCAGCAATTCTTTCATTGTGTTTGCCATTTCTTCTTCAACCTGAGATATTATTTCTGATCTGATTACTTTACAGCCTCATGAAGTTGTCCATTTACTTAAGTTGATATCCTTTCAGAAATTTCAGGTGGGCTACTTCAAATTTCTTCTATGTCTGTATCTCCTAGACTTGTTCTGTGTTGGCTGAAGGTCTGAGACTGCCTTTTGCTCCTTCATCTTCTTGGATTCCTCTAGGCAAGCTAGCTGTGGGATCCCAGGCACTTTCTGTGTTGGCTGCCCATTCACAGTGCAGGGAAGTGGACCAGGCACCTGGGTTTCTCCTGACCTGAGTTCCCAGGGGAGGCAGTGGGGCATGGGGCAGGTTTTTCCAGATATGCACAGCTACACCAAGACTCCAGTGACGGCAGGAGGCACATGGGGGATTGGCTGGCTGGTTAGCAGTCCCTGATGGTGATGGCAGCCAGCGGGATTGCCTAGCCTTCTATTCTTATTTTCAAAAATACTTTTTGCCTTTTTGAGACGGTCTTGCAATGCAGTGCAGGCTGGCCTTGAGCTCACTTTGTAGCCCAGGCTGGTCTTGAACTTGCAGTGATGCTCCTGCCTCAGCCTCCTGAGTGCTGGGATTACAGGTGTGCATAATCACACCTGGTGTTTTTTGTAAGGTATTGCTGTGTAGTTCAGGCTAGCCTTGAGTTCACTACATAACCCAGGTTGCCTTCAAATTTACAGGGATCCTGCCTCATCCCCCCAAGTGTTGGGATTACAGGTGTGTGCAATCATACACTTTCTTTAAACTATCATTTATTCTTTCATTCACTGCATACCTTTCCCTAGTCTTGCACAAACTTGGGTAAAAGAATCATATTAAATGAAAATTCAGTATTTGTTTTAAAGATACAAGTACTGTATGGTAGATGTAGGGATTATAATACGGGCAGTTTCCACCCCAATGATTCAGACACCTTAATCAATCCCAATTTAGCCAATAAGCATGTATCCTGCTACTGAAAACTTACTCAGACTTTTTAAAACTTTCATATTGTCTTTCTCACCTTGCCTTGACCCCTTAAAATTCAACTAATCACCATTACACATTTGAGATTTCTCTTCAGTCTCTTGTGTTGTCACTGCTTCTATGTACTTAAGGCAGGACCTCATTTGTTAATCCCAAATTTTCTCCCCACTTTGTCTTTTCCCTTACATGATATGGTATATATAATCCTACAATGTGCAGCATGAAATAAATGTTGCTTTCATTGTGAAAAGCTGCAGCTAGAGCAAAATACACACAGCATGTCTAGAGGCAAAGACAGTGAACTTCTTTGACTCAACATTTTTGTTCTGTTTTGTTTTATTGAGACAGGGTCTCCCTATGTAGCCCAGGTTAGCCTGCAATGATCCTCCTGCCTCAACCTCCCAAGTACTGGGATCACACGCATGCACCACCATGCCTGGCTTAGACACGCTCAACACTCTTATCTGTAAAATAAAGACCATATCACAAGTGTTAATTAAATAATATAAAGTTATTTTGTAAACTATAGATTACTAAATAAATATTATGCAAGATAACTCGAAGGCCACTCTTTCACAAAGGAAAATTCTCACCGTGTTCTTTAGCAACCTCACTTTTATTTCCTTGGCTTTTGAGCTTACAAGACATAATAGCCCTAACATACTTGAACTTATTTCTACCAGTAACTTGACCCACAGATTCTCCTCTAGTAGAATAAATCATCCCCTCGGGTTTTAGCACAAAATTGTAATTCCTACTTTGTGTTTCTGCTGGCATTTTCTCCCACGTATGGGCTAAGCAGCTCCCATGTCCAACTGTAGTTCTACTCCTGCAGCAGCATTCCATACTTCCTGTGGCATCCCTCAGCTCCTCACCGCACAACAGCACATTCAGTCTTCACTGTACAGCTTGACACTTAACTCTGCATCATTCCACTATAGCTCCTTGTGTGCACAGTTTCCTGAAGGACAGATTGAATATGAACCTTCTTATGCATTTTTCAGAGGACCTTGCATAGACCTTTCTCACTGTGGTTGCCATTTCTGCATGGCAGTAAATTGATACTTAGATTAGTTCCAAAGTTGTTCATCCCAGAAACTTAATGTATTTTTGCTCATTCCATCTATAAGCCTACAGTAATGGACTGCCAATAGTCCCATCAACAATGCATGATTTTTGGTAAAACATAATCAGTTATTCATTACTTTTTGGATGTTGATGCTTAGCTTTAACCCTGAGCTTCTTCATACATACTTAAAAGACTTCCCTACAAAAAAAAGTCCCAACAAAAGAAGTCAGATTATTACTGATGGTTAAACAGTAATGCTTACTTGGTTAAACTCCAGTGGAAAATCTAATACTTTACCTTCCAACAGGGCTCATAACCTTCAAAGATGTATTGCAGTTTCATAGGAAAGATGATTAACATTTATTCATACATAAAATTAGTGGGCTACGACACTGAGTTTTTGATAAATTTAGGAAGCCCAGATAAGTGAAAATTAACTTTACTATACACAAGTCTCAGCAGAGACTTGTGAGTCTCTATAGTTCTGAATTCCATGTGTTTCTACACAGGTATTTCATGACATTGAAGCAGACAGAGTAATAATTAATATATTCAATTGTCCAACTCTGTATGATGATGTGAAAGTGAAATTTTTATCTCCGGTGAGTAATCAAAAAACAATCTCTGCCACTTTTCTTGTCTATTTTGAATAATTTTGGTTTGGAATTTTTTTTGTTACAAATCCCAACAAGGAAGACAATAGCAATCCATCAATGCCCAAGACAGGGAGGAAAGTAACAAATCAGATCCACTACAAGATTTTTAAAAAGAATATTTATTTTGCTTGTTCTTTTTTCTAAATTCTATGCAACTTGCATTATTAATTTTCAAACAAGAAAAATACAAAAACCAAGATGCTAAAAAAAAACAAGGATATCTTTAATTGTATAGAAGTGTATACATTTTTGTTTTATATCTTTAAAAAATATAGTTGTCTATATAATCTACAAAATACTTTAAAGCAAGGGAGATTTTACTTTCCTTTGAATTGACACGTCGTAAATGTGTTTGTTAATCTAATTTACTTCATGAAAATGTAAATGCCTTCCATTGTCATTACTTTGAATATCATTAGTGTGTAATTTATGTTGGCCATTTGTTTTTCTTATGTTGAACATTTCTAACCCTCAATAGTTTCATTTTCCTATTCATTCACTGGCAATGGATCAACTTAAAATTTATTGCTTGTTCCTTCCTGAATCCTTTGCTGGTTCCCTGTTGGAAGATAATCTGTTAAACACTGAAGGCTTGAAGCAAGTGGTCTAGATAGTTCCCGTATCAGTTTCCCCTTGCATGTGGAGCCACTCTGAATTCTTGACTAGAAGTCTCTAAGCAGAAACAGTATATAAAGAATACTGGAGCAGGGAACTAGACGATGTATAGTCCTTGTGATTCTCAAAGGCTATGACATGAAAGCACTTTTAAGGTATTTAGGTACTTTCGTCTGTCATCATCAGTATTGATGGTCAATTATTCAGTGTAGTTACACTTTGTAGAAATGAGTTAACACATGTTATATATAGTTTCTTCTCATTTAGTCTTTAGGCCTCTCTCAGGACCGTGGCTATAAATTCCAGCATTACTTTGACAGGGCTCCAGGCAAATTGTCATGGACGCTTAACAATGTGTCTCTCACAGGATATTTCTTTATCCTGAGCGTCCAGCAGGCAACCAAGTGCCCCTCTCCCAGGAAACTTGTTTATACTGGTAGACACCTCTGTGACGCTCGTCCAACCTGTGTCTAATTTATTCCTAGTAAGATGGCCACCTCCTAGAGAGCCTGAGAGGAGAGTTAAGCCCAGGTGTGTTGGGCAGGTGAGACAGAGAGAAGGCCACATGACAGAACGTGAGAGAGCAGAAGCAGTGTTTTATTACTTACAGATCCCATAGAGGAGGGCAGCATACCCCACAGGGCCAGTGAGAAGCGGGAAACATCAGGAGCAATAGAGACCTAGGATCAAAGCCTTCACTGGGGTCAAGGTGTCACCTTAGCAGCTCTCCCACAGGGAATTCCAATGGGTGAGTTTAAAGCAAATGGATATGAGTTTCATGATTCACAGTGAGACTGAGAAGTAATCACTGTGACATATTTGCACAGGTTCCCCAGGGTATGGGGAAGAGTGGAGCAAGATAAGCTGTACCTAGATGCCCCACAGGAAGTGGTCAACAGCTTGGTTGGAAAAGGCAAACATCTGGGTTGATCATACTGAGGAATTGGCAGGGAGCACAGAACTGTGCCAAGGATGACCGAGCCTTGTTTCTGGTGGGAGAAAGTCTAACTTACATTCACAATAGGTGCCAAGGCCAAGTAACTTTTCAGAATTCACTACAGAATGTTTGAGTATAAGTAGGCATAGGTCCTTAGTAGTACTATCAAAAACAGATTAAAAGACCAGTATCTAAAATCATGGCAAAAATACATCTTTGTAAGTGAAATTGCTGTCATACAGTAAGTCCACATTTAAAGTCTCGAGGAGCTGCCGTGCTGTTCACTGTGGCTGCATCATTCTGCGTTCCCTCCAGCAGTGTGGGAGACTCCAGTTCTCGGCATCCTCAGCATCCTCACTGGTGTTTTTTGTTTTGTTCTGCTTCTTCATTTTATAGTGATCCTAGCAGGTGTGAAGTGGTGTCATTGTGACTTAAGAACCTTCATGTGCTTGTTGGCCATCTGGATATACTTTCTGAATAAATGTGTATCTCAACCCTTTGATCATTTTTTATTTGGGTTGTCCTTTTGTTGATGAGTTATAAGTTTCTTAGATAATCTGGATAAACGATCTACATCAGGGATGTGACTTACAAACATTCCTCTTCCACGGCTTTTCAACCCTTTCATGCCCTTTAATGAACAAAGTTTTAAAAATTTTAATGAAGTCCAATTTACCTGTTTTTATTGTGCCTTACATTTGAAAATACTGATTTTAGTCTTTGTAATCATTAAGTACCAATTTTGTTACAAAAATAATCTTTTTTTTTTCCCTTATCTCTTTAGAAGCTTCCCAAGCACTATGACAACTGCCCTTTCTTCTTCTGGTTTCACACATCTTTGATAGAAAAAAACAGGTAGGAATGGAATATAATCAAATAGAAACCGCTTAACTTCAAAGTCTGGATGTGAGGTGAAAGAAGACTTTTGCCAACTGTCATAAATTTAGTTTGTAGAAACTAAAAAAAAATCGAGTCACTGTTCATGGCTTTACTCATCTTAATATGATTATTTTAAAGTACAGCTGTTCTTGAGACGTGCTGTTGGGTTGGCCTCAATGCCCGTGTCACACAACTGTAAGTTAATGTGTGATGTGCTCACGTCTTGACTGTGAGATGAGCTCCTCCCAAGGAATATGGAGTCCTCAGGAAGTGTTATTTACTGATGGCTGACCACCAAACTTCATGCTAAACACTGGGATAGAGGGAGGCTGCTGCTAAATTAAAAGCTGATCTACAGCAAATTATAAAATATGATAAATATTAATGCTGTCAACTAGAAAATCATTGGAGTGTGTGTGTGTTGCTAGGAATTTAACCCAAGGCTTCATACGTGAGTTCTCTAACACTGAGATACACATCTGGACCTACAGTTTCATATTTAAACATGATTTTCTAATAACTGAATTGGGAAGAAGTATTAACTGAATTAAAGATTATCACAAAGAATCTTCTACCATATCTGAAAATTCACTCCTCAGTCTATTAATTCTCCATTTTAAAGCATTGTAATGGTTGGTGGGAAATGAGATTTTTTATAAAAGGAAAAATACTTTAAAAGGAAAGGAATATAAAAGGAAAAATACTTTAAAAATCACTCAGATCAGACTTTGAGAAAGCAGTTGTGATTATATATAACATGAATTGTTACATTAAGATTTTTCTTCAGGTCTATGCTAGATCTAGTTAACACCTCAGGTCTATAGTAAAGCAACACTGGATCTGCCCACTTGTAATACACACACGTTTCATAGATATTTTTTTTGGTACTGGGGGTCCAACTCACGACCTCACGCCTCCCAGGCAGGCGTTTGTGCCACTGAGCTATATCCCCAGCCCCCACATTTCATAGATTTTAAGGGAGTAAACTTTGGATTGAATGGAAAAAATACACTGATTTTTTTCTGGATATATACAATGAATTTTGGTTCTCTCCAATAGAGAAAACTAGGTGGAGTCTCATTTACTATTTCTCAAAGGTAGTTCTGACTAAAGGATACTTTTATCCTTTTAAACACCATCTTCTTAAACATATTAGCTCATTTTTATTGTCACTTTTATATATTTCCACAGATATTTGTGACATTTAATTTCACATATTGCTTGGTAAAGTTATGAGATTGGTGTTTAGTAAAAAGTGCCCACTTCATCATTCAAAAAACAAACAGTATTTGATTGCCAGGTTTTATTATACATCTAGTCTCTGGCTGATTTCTATCACTTACAGGAATTCAGATACACCAAACCTGAATATTGTTAATTCCATGAGAGGTGATGGAGGTAAAAGAATCTGTAGCATGTTACTGAGGCCCGTTACTGAAGATTCAGGTATTTTGTATCTCTTTACGGAAGTAGAAGGAGCCAAGAAACACACATAAAGGGCTGAGTCTTACTCGTGGTGAGCAAGTCTTTTTCTAAAGTTCCATCAAGGCTGCTCGAATTGCATGGCTTTTCTATTAGTTCTCAAATATATCATGAACTGGGCATGTTGGCACACAGTGGTAGTCCCAGCACTCTGGAAGGCTGGATGAGAGAATCACATGTTTGATCCCAGCCAGGACAGCTTAGCAAGACACTGTTTCAAAATTAAAAATAACAGGAGGGCCAGGGATCTGTGAAAAGGCCTTGGGTCCAATCCCCAGCACCAATTAATTAATTAATGTAAAATGCAGTCATTGTTTTTCTATCTTTAGGCTTTATCTACCAAGAAATCAACTGGACAATCTCCATAAACAAAGAGCATGGAAAATTTACGGTCCAAAATTTGCAGTTGAGGTGTATTTTGATGAGAATGAACCAGTCCTGCTGTAGCTCGGATCTAATTAAAGTGCACCTTCCCTCTCCAGAGTGTCTTTTGCAATCTCTGCTACATAACGTCTTCTGACTCTGTCTTTGGTGGCATAGCTATATTTGTATGTAAAATATGTGTAATCTGTTTCTGATAAATGGTTAAATATATACAAAAGTGTATGTCTTGTACTTTGATAAGTTTGGAAGACACAGCACACAGGAAAATTAGGTATCATTTTGAGAGCTTAGAAATAACAGACCTTTTGTATCAAAATGACTGAGCTATTTTAACACTGTAGTCCCTGGCATCCTCCTGTTATTCTAGCTGCTCAGAATGCAGAGTCGGAAGATGAGAGTTTGAGGTCAGTCTGTGCCACCAAATAAAGTGATCCCACCAGAGCATGTGTCTTACATATTTTTGGATAAATACTTGTTCTCTTGTTTTACATTTATAACTTCAGATTTATTTAAAAAAAAAAAAACTCCTATTTTCACCGACTATTGACATCTATCAGATAGGCAGCAAACAGTTTTAAATGCAAAAAAAGTGTTTCCCTCACCAGCCCCTCATCCTCAGCACACTTTTCTCTTTCCAAGCACACACAGGTAGTTTATAATACTGTCACTACACCCACAAAAAGACCTGCAATATTATGCACACGTACCAACTCCTCATGCGTGGAATCACTGTGTACCCCAAACATGTACTGATAAAAAAATTTTTAAAATCACACATACACAAGGTCTTGGTAAATATGAAGGACAAAAATATTCTGAGTGACTCCTGTTTTGTATAACATCATTAGCTGCTGACTGGTGTGATCCAAAAGAGATCACTAATAATTTTTTTTCTTTTTCTTTTTAAAGAGAATAAAACCAAACAAAACAGAAATAAAGCCCATTAACATTCTTTCTTTGGTTTTGATAGCTACTTCATTCTACTTTCCCTGCCTCTGTATCTTCAGGCCATCACCAGCCTTGAAAAGTTCTATTTTTGGCTTTATTGAAATCAACCTTATTTAGATGATTTTCTTTTTTTTTCTTTTTTTTTGTTAAGGCTCAACAATCTAGGCCAAGTTGAGTTCACGAGGAAATGAAAAGTAACAACTAATAACACCTGTGTCTCTGCTGAAACCACGGAGGCACACATAGACAGCTACACAGTGTCACAAGGTCATATAATCTTTTTTTGTCTTTTCTTTTTTTTTTTTTATCGGTACCGGGGATCGAACTCATGACTGCCTGCTTGCAAGGCAGGTGCTTATGCCACTAGCTAAATCCCCAGCCCCAAGGTCATATAATCTTACAGGACCACCACGGATACGTGGCCCCTCCCTGAAATGTCGGGCATGGCCAGATAACTCATTCCTTATAGCCCCTGAGCTCTGCAAAAGGCATGCAGTAAAAAAAGGAAGAAATAAAGGGGCTGGGGAATTTGGTAGACCACTTCAATCAAGCAACTTTGTCCCTGGCACACTAACCTGCCGGGCCACATGGGTCAGCCTCTCAGCAGTCTGCAAATTGCCACCGTGTTGGGCTTTGAGTGGAAACAAAAGGACAGAGAAGGGCTGTGGATAACAAAGCAGACATGGATGGGACTACAGCTCTGAACCACGGTGGGCACAGGACAGCAGCAACATGCACCAGCCAAGGGCCTGAAAAGCTGCTGGGCAGCCTGGCTCTCCACTTAGCGATCCTAAAAAGGCCTCCATCGGCCAATGCAGCAGCCCGGCTAAAAGTTTTCCTTTCCTCCTCTTACTCTGGCTCCTGAGGGAAAGGCCAACCACAACGCAACAACAAAGCATACTCTCAGGACTGCTAACATTATTCACTGTATTTTGAATTACAAAAACATGTCTTGTAGCAAGACAGGTTGCATATATTAGTTTTTATTCAGAGGGCAGATTATGTAACAGGTTTAGGCAAATAGGAAAAAACTACTTAGCTGACCCTGGGAAGAAGTTTTTCAATAGTAGCAATAGTAGCAATAGTAAGGACGGATGGTGACTCCAATTAAGAATCTTGGGGCTGGGGATTTAGCTCAGCGGCATAACCACCTGCCTTGCAAGCAAGCAGTCATGAGTTCGATCCCTGGTACCAATAAAAAAAAAAATTAAGAATCTTAATTGAGTAAACCTCAGAAGTAAAACTATAATTGAAGTTTTTCTTCAAGGCCGGCTGTGGCCTGAAGATACAGTGGCAGGGAGTTTTTCATCAAAATTTCTGGCAGTTCTAAGTTGCCACACTATTCCCTTTCACTCTTATAAACTTGTTCAGGCCTCTTGTGTTGCTTTCTGAAAAGGCAAAATGATTAATTCTTTAAGTAAATTCAGAAATTTACACTGTAAATATCAGAATGATACTGGATTCCTTAAATAAGGTTTATATACTTGGAATAAAATCATCCAAAACTATTTTTAACAACAGAGTGAGGGAGTAAGAAATACGACTGGGTCATTATATAACTAAGCAGTATATACGCACCAACAGTCTTTTTTGCCAATCTGCCTATAGCAAAATTATTTTACATTCAACCTCCTCGGTGAAAAATGCTTGGTGTAGCAAAACTTCCACCTTAAAATACTAGAATAAGTCATTCTTGCTTATTAGTTCTTCACACAGACATAAATAAAATTCACCATAGACTCACATTAAGTAAATAATTTAATAATAGAAGACTCAAATTTCTTTAAACACAGTATCTCTATTTTTGTCTAGAGTACAGATCTGAAATGGTAAACACCATACCCAAATACCGAACCGAAATTTAACCAGACAGAATGAAAAAACATTGCTCATCTTTCCATTCCTCACTTCCATTCGCTTCAGACAATGCTATTGAGGATAATGAATTAGACCTTTAACGAAGGACCTGTGAAAACATCCACCAACTGCCCTACCTGGCACCAGCCCCTCGGTACACGCAGGGGCCAAGGACTCGAGGCGGCTCCCTTCCTGCTGGCAGCCAGTTCCAGTTTCTCTATCTTACCACAGTGCAGGCCTGTTCAGTTGAAGCACCACTCAGTAACTACTGACCATTTAAATATGGAGAGAAAGGTAAAGTAGAAAAACGGTTTTCTTGTAAAGAAAAAGTAAATGGAGGTTCTGAGAGGTTGAGGCAGAAAAACTGCAAACTTGAACCCAGCCAGCCTGGGCAACTCAGTGATTTAATGAGAAAAATCAAAATTAAAAGATAAAGAGCTGGAAATGTAGCTCAGTGTGAAGGCTCTGGGTTCCACTTGCAGTACCCCAAAACAAAAGCAGGAAGGAAGGAAGGAAGAAGAACAGTAAACAGAGCATCAGCTACAGCACGACAAGCATCCTTGCCCGTGCAGAGCTGTTAGCCCTCCACATTTGGCAGCACGCACCTTGCTTCCCTAACCCTCTAGCTCCAGGCACAATGGCTGAGTTGCCAGAGGTTTGGCAAATAGCAGAAAGCTTACGGAGACCGGAGGTTTCACCCAGTGTTGACACTCTGCCCACAACAACAGACATTCAAGGGCTCTCACACCCTCAGCTTGCTTGCTTTTGGCTTTTCAGACCTCCTACGAACACGTGTGGAGAGCACCCTGCCGGTCTCAGAGCAGCACAGGATGAGGCTATTTAGTGGTGACTGGTTGCTCACAGCGACTCCAAAGAACAGCTGTCCATCCCATCCCAAACCCATGTGGATCAGATCGCCAGTGGGGTTTGCTTGCTTTTCTTGGGGAGGAATATATATATACTGCCTCGTTTCACAAAATTGCTTTTCTTATGCTGCACTGCTTTACCAAGTCATACCTCATCATCTAAAGTTTCTAAAAGGCAGGACTGCCTGCCAGTGCAAAGTGTGGAAGGCACCAACGTGCACGGCAGGGAGTGAGGGAGCCCAACGTAAACTCAGGACAGGCGAAGCTCATTTACAGTGAGCTATAAACGCTGCTGCTGTACTGCTGGAGAGAAGCGGGCTGTGCCCATAGCTACTATAAATAGGCCCCCAAACAGGGAGTAAAGGCTTCGCTTGGCTTTGGTATTAATACCATCCTCTGGAAGAGCTTCCAGTTGGTAGAAACAGGTGGGAAAATGAATAGTCTGAAGTGGATGGACTGCACATCTACCGCGGTCAGGACCAAAAGATGGAATTAAGGAGGAGCTGCTGTGAGCCACATGGGATCATCGAAGCACAGCAGCACAGCCCAGCTCCTCGGCCGCCCTTTATCCTCAGCGGTTCAGGGGACGCTTTCTAGGAGAAGGGAAGGAACTTGGTGAGGGCCATACTACTTCCCAAAGGCCTGATGGTCTGAGCTGCAGCTAGCGGTATGGTCAGAGGACAGAACGTGGGCCCATGGAGAAAATGAGTGGCATTATTTAACAGTTAAGTGTCTTGGGAAAAATCCACAATGCCACTCAGAAGCTTTATCAAGAATATAGAAGCCACACCAGTAGGCAGGCCTATTCTACTAAAATTCTACCTGAATATATTAGTTTTCAAGTACCACTTGAAACCCTTTACCTCTTAGTACATAAGTTCAGCAGACTTTAAACACTAGATTTTAAACACAGTAAGCATTCATTCATAACCATTCACACACACACAACACAAAGTCACTTCTCTGTCTTCTGGTAGTATTTCAGATGAACCATGGAACCAAATCATGTTTCCCTCAATACATAACCATCCCGACTGCACGGATACATGTGGTTTATACATAAACAATGCCTTTTAAGTTACGCACACGGGGCCACAAGCCATCCGATATATTTTTATCAAGGGCCAGAGCAACTTTTCTCTTTCAATTAGGGGCAGAAATTGTATGACGTAAGATGGAAGTGCTTCCATCAAGTTGAAGGTTTAGGCAGAAGGGAAGACAAAGAGAAAATTCACGATGCATCATTATAATTCCATGTTGTTCCTGAACTCCAGGAAACCCTGAGATGAATAGTAGTCCTGGTCGCCTGTGCTTCCGAGGCAGGCCCACCTGGGACTTCAGAAGGCTTCCAGCTGGCCCATCATCAACTTCCTGCTGTATTCGTAGGCCAAAAATAGTGCGCCATTGGCAGGGAAGGCTCGAATCATGGTTGGTTTCAGTCCGGAATACAAAGTTGCTATTCCTAAAAAACAAAAGGGCAGTGTAAAGGCTGATGACCACCCTGCGCAGCTGCATAGAATGGGAATATTTGCTCTTACATATCCACACAGTAGCACTAAAGCTCAACAAGTGATAGAAGGATTAACTTCTATTTCCCTAAATTGACAAACACAAACAAGACAAGTGTCAGGTCTCCTGGCAAAGCTGATTCCTATCTACCCCAATCCATGCCCAGTTAATGGACTATGGGTGGGGTACAGCTGAGGCCTGACCCGGTGCACAGAAGCAACCATAAAGCCAGACTGCAGTAAGAGCACCGACATCAGAGTCAAGAGCCCGTTTCCTGTATTAGCATCACCAGCAGAGCTAAGAGTACTGAATTAGATGGGTATGTGTGCATGCGTGCGTGTGTGTGTGTGCGTGTGTTGCATACTTTGCAAAACTAGTATAATGCAGACTTACAGGGAAGTCACAACATAGACCATATCTGCTCTTTGGGACATGAATTAAAGTTGTTTCTGTGTTATTGTGCTCTTTCTTTTAAAATTAAAACAAGTTCATCACTCAAGTTTTAATGTGTAGTGGACATAGAAGGGACAGGTTGCGTAAAATCAGATTTACACACTTACTTAGTCTTCATTCTCCTGCATAACTCTAAAAAGTGGTAGCCTACATGTTATTCCTCAGTCCATTTCTGATCCCAGAAACTTAGCATTAAGAATGTTATACATTCTTTTAAAGCCCTGAAATGGTCCTGATAGATTATCTGATAATGTCTACTCTCTAAAACAAGTGGCACTAACTTCAAAGCATTTATACCCTCAGTGATTAGGACAAAGAATCCTGACAAAGTATCTGGCCCAGGGTTAAGAGTAATAAACCTGAAAGGTTTTTGAGAGCCAGGCAGGATAGTATACACCCTTGTAATCCCAGCATAGTGAGGCTGAGACAGGAGGATCACTATTTGGAAGCTCACTTGGGCTAAAGAATGAGACCCTGTCTCCAAAAAAACAAAAAAAGATTCTTGAGAATAGACATAAGCAAAGGTTTTATGAATAGAAAGTCACAAAAGTGTATTAACATGCAGTGCTTGAACACGATATGAAATAGGGAGAAGGGAGGAATTACACATCTGATCAAACCTCAGAGGAGGCTAGCGCCAAGTGACTTTTCTGTGCGTACCCGCTTTCTGCAGTTAGCAGACTCACCTTCATTTCTCACAACACTTAGAAGGGTTCCAATAAATCCTGCCTGTTTCCCAGACATAGAAAGGATTTGAATTCTGGATTTGACACAATCCACTGGGTATACAGCAAGCCACAGGCAAATTCCACCAACTCCACCGCTTAACATCAAAGGGACAGGACCTAGAAAACAAATAGCAGATGACATTTTATCTCAAAAACAGCTGATGTCACGTTTCCAGAAGTCAGTAGCCACAGGTAGATAAAAACCATAACGCTAACACTATAGTATGTGATTCTTCGAGAAAACTGTCAAAGCCAAGAATACGCTGTTTCCCGTTATGGTGGTCAGTGTGTCACCTGGGCCTTGCCCAGGACAAGAAGCCCTAGTCAGGGCTGTGTTTAGCCTGCTCGCCCAGAGCCGCTGCTCCTGTCCTATCTGTGCAGCCTGGACTGCACAGAACAGTAGGACCACAGCATGGCAATGCCACACCACAGGAAAGCAGGAAGAGCCGAGGAAGGAGGTTACATCTTTTTCAGCCTTCTCACACTGCGATAAATGTTTTTATGCCCAAAAGCCCTAATTTTTCCTTTACTATGCAAAACTAACATGGTCTTAAACATATCCATTATGTCTGGGAGCGTGGTTAACTGCATAACAGATCCAACACAGTGAAGTGAGGTGCTTGAATCTCCCTGTCAAGTCAATCCTGTCAAGCCGTGTCCAGCACCTGAATAGGAACCAAGTCAGACCCGTGCATTTCACTGCTCTCAAAACACTATCAAGACTCATTATCTTATTTTAAGCTTACTGCAAGATTTATAGGTGGTTGTGCAATAAGGAAAGTAATTTCTGTATTTCTCTAAAATGAGTCTAGAACAATCAATGATTGTTATTCCAATAAAGAAGTTTGGTACACTGCTTTGGTCCCTGTTCTGAGGAAATTATCAAGCCAGGGAGAAGGATGCTAGCAATCTCCTGCTGTAATATTACTTTCCAGCATCCAGAAACTTCCCAGTGCTGGGCAGGCCCCCACAGGGAGAATGCAGAAATCACACCATCAAGAAACAGGTACTGTTGGCTGGCAATTTAGCTCAGTGGCATAAGTGCCTGCCTTGCAAGCACGCAGTCATGAGTTCAATAAAAAAAAGAAACAGGTACTGTCAAACCCACAGGCCGTCAACACAAACATATTTACCTAGTTCATCTTTTGATCTCCCTGATGCCAAAAATGATCGGCTCAGTTCATAGCCTCCAAAGAAGAAAAAATAGCCTGGTACTTCCCGCAATAAGGTGCTTGAGAGTCCGTGGTAGAAGCCCAGGGGACCATCCTTCCTAAGGATACTTTTCACGACAGACCAAACTGTACTGGGAGGAGACAGTGAGAGACAAGGTTAGTTCAGGCAGCAAAGGAGGAAGACAAGGGCATTCATACCCAACAGAGCTGGTAAACATGAAAAAGAAGTAGTTGATTTTGTTAACAGACACCAGGAAATTTAATAAAAGGCATCCTTTGGTAGGAAAGAAAAACCTCAGAAGCAAAGGTATTATTTTCCAAGTTATTCTTAAGAAAATTTTAAATGAATACAAGTTTCTAGAAGTTACATTATCAAAGATACAAAAAGAGCTGTGAACCATGTTTTCCATAGTACATAAGTGAGATCTGAATTGCTATCCAAATTCGGCAAGAAGAAGACAGTAGTGTGTTTTCCCAGCCCCTTATCTCCCTCCAGTTCCTGTCCCTTCAGTCTCTGGTGTATTTTAGGGGAACCTATTCAGGTATTTGCTGTTGTTTTGTTTGATGAACAAAGGAACAAATGTTACTTGAAGGCTACACAAATTCTGAGAGCTAAGCTAAGCTCTTGCCATGTAAAAAGCACCCACAACTGAGTCTACAGAAAGCTGGGATGCAGGGGAACTCCTCTTAAGCACGTCAGAGCCCTGAAACAGCTGGGGCATAGCATAATTGTGGACAGCAGACTTTCTTCCCACAATGGTGCACACAACAGGTTTTGTCCCCATGGTGAACAGGGAGAGAAATCACATATTCAGTGCAATGTAGTGAATTCCCTCTGCTCACTTGTTGTCAGAGAGCAGGGGACTCAGCTAGGAGAGGAGGAGGATCAAACCCTATGTGACAACCACAAGTGATGATCTTCTTTCTGAGAGCTTCAGAGGACTCTAATCAGTACTGATGACACCACTGCTCCCATTCCACACCCAAATGTAACACGCTGCTCTGCCTGCCCAGTCCCGACTGTCACATACACTGACATGTACACCTCAAATACCAAGCCGACCAGTATCCACTTCTTTGCAAAATGTCCATCTAAATCCTATGGATATAACCACAACTAGCTTTAAATCACCTTAAACTACTTTAAGGTACAAAAGGGCAGTTTTCTTGGTGACATTAATGTTTTATTCTATTTCTTAATCCAGGAACTGGATACCAAAGGTTCTTAATCCATGATTATTTATAGAATTGCACACTTATGATTTGCCTGTGTATTCTTGACAGTGGTGTATGTTAATTTCAATAAAGTTTTCATGGCTTTCACTTTGCCGGGGATTGAACTCACGACCTCGTGCTTGCCAGGTAGGCGCTTAATGCCACTGAGCTAAATCCCCAGCAATATTACATATCTGTTTTAGTGGCTTTTCTCATTGCTGAGACAAAATATCCAGGGCCCAAAGTTAAAGTAGGAAAGGTTTATTTAGCTCACAGTTTGTAGAAGTTTCAGTTTACACTTGGCTGGCTCCAAGGCAGGGTAACACATGGCAGAGGGGCAAGAGTTCATGACCACAGAAGACAACAAAAGCAACAACCAAACCTTAACAATGTCTTTCAGCCCCTTTTATATTCTATCTAGGTTGCTGGGATTAGTGAGGTACAAAACCAATCAGTGAACTGATCATACTCTCTAGATGTAGGCACCTCTGAAAAGCCTACACCTGCACCCATGATTGCAGGAGGCTTTGGGGGGACATCCAGACATAAACCATAACAATATCATACATATGTGAAAATCATTTTAGGGCTGAGCTAAAGGGTGACTTCAGAATGGCTATAGGCTGACAAGGGTTTTGAAGAATGTTTTCAGAACACAGGCCGTTTTCAGGGACATTTGAAAGACTGGGGAAGGCAGGGAGGAAGCAGATGAAGTCACCACCAGGATGGGGGGTCATCAGCCTCAACCCTTTATGTGAAGCCTAGGAACAGGCATCAAATACTCATCACAGAACTCCAGTCAGTACTTAGAAAGGCTTGGCCCACAGATCCATCTCAAAAGCTGCCCATAGTGTGCCTCCAAATATTGCCTGTGCACCCAAGGGAAGAAAAGGAGAGGTAAGCTCTAGGCTGCACCAATTCTGGGGGTTAAACATCTGTGTCAGATGCCCATGGGGTGGGTGTTGAGTGCAACCTCCACTATACTCAATGATTACTTCAGAAAATTATCCTGTGACTGGAATGAGACACATAATAAGAGTAAATAAATCTGTTCTTTAATTTTAACTCAGTATAAAATTACAAACATAATCTACAAAGGCAACAGAGACTTAATGCTTGTTCCTGAACAGCACTTACTTCTGGCTTCTGGTTATCTTTCCTGACGTCTCCATTTCGAACATGGTCTGCAGCCGGCACTTCACAAGCTCCGTGGGGCACAGCACCAGGGCCGCAAAGGCGGAGGCCACGGATCCCGCGGCTGCATTCTGCAGGTCACTGAAAGCACAAGCAGGGAACACTGCCAACATCAGCGCATTGGCTCCTTCTGCAGCACCAGAAGGGAGCGCGGGGAACATGCACACGCTATTGCAGCTAAGGACCTCATGACCCTGTGAGGAGCCAGCAGCACCCCAGTCTCCATCTGGAGAAGTGATGCTCAGAGAAAGTACATCACCAAATCCAGGTCTGCCTCACTGCCCATCAATGCTGTGTTTATCAGGCACAGTGCTGTGGTCTGCATGTTTGTGTTCCCCACTCCAAAGTCGTATGTTGAAGATCTATCCCTTACTGGGATAGGAGCTGGAGGAAAGGTCCTTGAGAGGCATTTAGGTGTAAATGAGGATTTATTGGAGGGTGAGCCCTTCATCATGGAATTAATGCCCTTATAACAAGGGACCAGACTACACGTTTTCTCTCTCTACCCTGTGAAAAACGCACTGAGAAAACACTATCTATTAACCATAAAGTGGACTCTCCACAGACACCAAGTCTGCCAGGACCGTGATCTTGGACTTTCCAGCCTCCAGAGCTGTGAACAATGTTATTTCACCTCCCCACTCTACGGTATCCCAAACTAAGACACACAGCAACATGCAAAAAAAAGCCTGAATAACCTGGGACAGGGGAGGACCACCCATAGTCCCACCACTCAAAACATGCATTATATTTCAGTGTTCCACACACTAAGCATTAAGTAACATTGAATTCTAAGACCACTTCTCCCTGCCCAAAGTCTAACCTGGAGCAACCAGACATGCACACAACCACCACACAGGAAAACTCAGCATACATTTTTACTGCGGAAAAGATGTCTTCGTTTAGCTGAGGACCTCCTGAGAGTGCACCCCAAGGGTTCACGTGCCAGAGCCTGCTCCTCAGAGGGGCAGGGTGAGGCGGTGGGGCGGGTAAGAGGCTGGGCCTATGTTAGGTCACTGGGGCGCTCTTGCTCACAGAAGGAATTGAAGTTGCTCTGCAGGACTGAAGTTGGTTCCCAGAAAAGTAGATGGCTATATGCGGAGCAGGCCTCCCCTGAATCTCGCTGCCTTCCTGTAATCACCTATGAGCTCTCCCTCTCACACACTGTCCTCCGGCACGACACCATCCGCCCAAAGATCCTACCAGAGCCAAGCAGGTACCAGTGCCATGTTCTTGACCCTCCAGAACTGTGAGCTCAGTAAACCTTATTTCTTCCTATGTTACCAACTCTCGGGTATTCTGTTAGAGGAAGAGAAAACGGACTAAAGCACCTCCTCAGCCTCAGCACTCCAGAGGGCAAGAGGAAGGGACCATGGGCCCTGTGCATACTCAGTGGTTTTAGGTGAAATGGCTAAGCTGGACACCTAAATCCACTAAAAGGGAGAATGCACCCACATATAAAATCGAAGCAGTTGCCTTCTCTCATACGAGCTTATACCACCAGCCCAGTCACCAGCAGAGCTGTGAAACTGGAGTCCAACAGGAGTTCAGGAATAGGGCAAAGTCCGAGCAGCTGTTCTCTGGATGCCAGCAGGGCTCCTTTAAGAAGTCTTCTTCATGCCCAAGACAGTGTTTTGCAGGTGCCCTGCCAGTAGGTGGGAGGCCACAATCCTACATGAGCAGAAACCACTGAATAGGTTGCCTGACTCACACATTAAGTCTTGGCCTCTTGCTGTCACTAGACAGCTGACACCACCCAGAATCCCTGAGGGGAACCACCTCTGCTGACTACCCAACATAAAGGTCCCCTAATAATTTCACTGCAGCATGAAACAGAACAAGGTCGAGGCTCCTCCAACCTGGGCCGTGGTTCCTACTCCCGGTGGCCTATTATTGGTGCCATGGCCTTGGTGCCACAAGGGGTTTCCAGGGCTACACTGGCCTTTCAACCCAGGTCTCAGTAGAGCGGCAGGGTCAGGCTTTTGTCCAGCTGCAGGGCAGGCCAGCTGTCCACCTGAGAGAATGAAGCCTTTGACCACGAACAGGAGGACCAGCGCAGCACAAAGGAACCGTCCTGCACATTTCAGTTCCCTCCTCCTCCTCCTTCTCATCCTCTTCCTCCTCCTCCTCCTCCTCTTCCTCCTTCTCCCATTCCTTCTTGACTCATTTGTTCAAAACCAAGGATTAGGATGATTCCTGCTGCCTTCCAGGCAGCCTGCAGATGTGTATCTGGCCTCCCTCAGGGACTCTGTCAACTTGCTGATAGGAAATACTCTATTACGGTCACGACCAGGGCTTGCCAAGCTGCTAGGACAAAGGTGACAGTCAATAAATGTGGATGTGTACTCAACCTCCAGTGCACTGGTGGCTCAGACATCTGAACGAACGCCAAGCACCTTGCTAAAGGGCAAAGACAAGGCTAAATCAGGTCTGCCATGGACTTTGGCTCTCTAATAAACGCTTCCATTTATCCACACACAAAACGAGGCCCATGGGCACCCAGTTCCACGTGTGGTATCCCCACGTGTGGTATCCCCACGTGTGGTATAAGTGTGTAGAAAGGGCAGTTGGTATGAGATGGTTCTCAAAGAACTGAAGATTTCTCATCTACCCAGTAGAATTTCCTCAGCCAAACAAACAAACAAACAAACAAGCCTGATCTCAGCACTCCCACTGTGTAAGCTCCATCCAGCCAAAGGTCACAGCAGACCAGCACTCTAGGTCGTGTTCAAATCAGGAACAGATAAATATTTACACTGGATTGCAGAAATCCACAAAAGCTTCTCACAAGCGGTTCTTTCCTTTCACAGCTCTTGACAAACCCTCTCTGGATTAGACCCCTGCAAAATATTCCAGAACCTCTAATGTGGTCTAACGGAAAGCAGGACTGAGCAGGGATGAGCCAGAAGGCATGGCTGAGCTGGTGATCATTAGCTATCAATACACGTGCCTCAGTTTCCCCATCTGTAAGTAAAAAATGACACACCTGCCTTGCTCCTGTCAGGGCCACAGAGTGGCCACTCAGATGTGACATATATGCCGGGGCTTGGCAGACTCTCAGATAGCATTCCCTTGAGAGCCATCAGCAAACACTGTTCTTCAGGGTGAAAAAGAAGATCCTTAGCCCAGCAAAGATTGGCGTGCCGTTCAGATCATGTTAAAGAGACTCGTTCCTTCACTGAAGAACTTCAAGGCATCCTTAACCTGTCTGTGACAGGGCCATAATTCATGTCTCAATGCCAGGAGGCTCTGAACCACTGGTGGTACATGCATGACTGTCCCACTGGGACATGTGACATAACTGCCTCCTGTCATAACTGCCTCCTGCCCCTTCTCAGGTCACCAACACGGACTTCTGGGGGCAGTACGCAGGAGCACAGCTGTGAGGTACTCCATGGTTCTCATTAAGAAAGCACTGGGCTTGCACTGTATCGAGGGGCCAGACCGCTTCTGTGAGAAGTGAGAAGACACCGTCTCCATCCTGTGGCTGGGAGGCTGCTCTGCTCAGAGGGCAGCACCAGTTCCGTCCACCAGAACCTCACACGCATACGCCCTGCTTGCTGGCTTCGTTTCCCTGCTGAGCCTCCTTAAGGAGCCCAAGGGAGAGCCTGAGCCCAGGCCTTGGGTAGAATGCGTCTCCCTCCACTGGGCACAAAACTTCTGCTCCTGTCAGTCGCCATCCTGGAGTGCCACACACTCTGCGTTTACGCTGTGGGACCTGCAGTTACAGTAGGGTTTCCAATTCCTATCACACTCATCCACAAGGCTGCCTGTTGCAACTCTCAAGCCAATGTAAGACTTTTAAATTGTTGAAGGGAGGACAGCTGTTATTTAAGGATGGAATGCTGCACTCCAGCTCTGGCACAGAGCATATGTTGTGCCCGTGTGGCCCTCACCGAGGGAAGAGAAGCAGGTGGGCACTCTACGTTGCACAGGTGCTCATGCTGACTTACCAGTGATTTCTGAGCCACTGGTCTCTATATAGTATCACTGGGAAGACCAAGCACAAGCCAAACTCTGATGTTTGATGGCAACTTGGCCAAAAAAGCGGGGAACTCGTCTGCATTTTCTTAGATATTCCCAACACCTCCCTAAGTTTCACATTCCTCTTAAGCCTATTCATCTCAGGTCACTTCTTCTGACACTCGGCACCATGCTGAAGAAGTGGAACTTAAAACTTCGGTCCTACATTGCATCTACGGCTTTAGTTTAGCACTTCCGCCCACTGACAAGCTTCTCTCAAAGATACCAGACTGCTAGGGTGGGTCCTTCCCGGCACCAGGCTCCAGGAAACTCCGTAGCATCATGCACATGCTTTTTCCAAGGTTCACACCAACACAACTTATGATACCATTGTCAAAAAAAAGGTACTTGTTTTTTAAAAGGAAAATGTTCTTCCTGTGAGCAATCATTAAAAGCCTGGCCACACAATAATGCTAGTATTTTTGAAAAAGCACAAGGCACCAGTTCAGACTCACCTGAGCTTTGCTTTCCTGTCCAGTCCAACCACTCTCCGCACCAGCTGCTGGCAAAAGCCATAGCACATGAAGAGCACCGAGTTCTCGGCGATGTTGGCAATCAGCGCTGGGCTGGTGCCCTTGTAGAAGCCACGGAAGCCCACCTGTGAGTAGGTCTTCAGGCAGCAGTCGGTGAGGCCCCGGTACAGGTCAGGGAACGTCTGCATCTTCACCTTCATGGTGTCGAAGGGCTGCCCGGTCAGTACACATGCGGTGCCCCCTGGAACGCATGAAACAGTACACAGGGTCCTCAGCTATCCAAGGGGTGCAATGCAGTGGCCCACCCCAGAGGGATTACCAAGGCAATTTAAAAATTCCTTCTGATCACGTTACCCCTGAAACCTAGCTGAGCCCCACAAACAACTACAGCAGGCCCTAGCAGCTGAGTCCCACCTCACAGGGCCTCATGATCTTGGCAGGGGACATGTGTGCCCCCAAATCCAAGTCCCAGCTGCAAAGGCACTGAGTTAGAGCTGGAGCCCGATTTCCTGTGATGGGGCTGTGACTTGTGAACATCTGTTCCTCACCTATTTCCCAGGGTGAGTGCTCACTACAAAAGTAGTTAATCCACAGCAGGGGCTGCAGGTGAGACAAAAGCCACACAGAGGCACACCTGGGAAAAGACAATCACTCCTTTTGGCCTAATCCCTTTAATTATGGTAGCTAACAGAAAAATCAGAGTGCTACACACCAGAAAGAAAATGGAAGCCGGCTACTCCATGGAGAGCACGATCTTTGATCCAATGAAAAACTCTTTTCAATTTTAAGTCTACCAAAAAAAAAAAAAAAAAAATTAACTCTACCAACTAATAATTTGTATTAAGGAATAAACTGAAACTTATCTTTGCTTAGCATAAATGGACCAAAGTTTACCAGTGCTCAGCATAGTCTATGTTTTATACTTTAAGAATATCACATAAACTGTGTTAGAATATCACATAACTGTGTTAGAACAATTCCGTAATAACTCCAGATCCTGGACTGGAGTGAATATTTTGAGAAGAGCTACTGGTTAATATTTACTACCCTCCCCAGGACTTGAGAAGCTTTTACATCTCAGAGGGCCCCTGCTTATGCTGGGAAACACTGCAACCAAACAACGATGTTGCTAAAATTTCATCAAAACGGAAAGGAAGCCAGGTCTGGTGGCACATGCCTGCAATCCCAGCACTCAGGAAGCTGAGACAGGAGGATCACCGAAAGTTTGAGGCCACATTGGGCTCCATAGTGCATTCAAGGCCAGCCTGAGTTACATAATGAGACCATGTCCCAAGGGGAAAAAAAGGAAGGAAAATTTACATAAGATGTTCAAGAAATGCAATTTTAGGAGCTGGGCATTTAGCTCAGTGGCATAAGTGCCTGTCTGGCAAGCACAAGGTTGTGAGTTTGATCCCGGTACTAAAAAAAAAAAAAAATAGTTGGCCTTCTGTGATCTCATCACTACCATTCACTTCTTCTAGGGGATAACAGCACACTTCTCTTTGTCTTCCCACATCATCCCCAGGTCTGAATTTGTGGAATATGAGTTTGTTGCAATTCAGAATTATTCTCTACCAGGTACTACTGGACAAAAATAAAATGAAATCCAAAGTATATCAATGAAAATTAATTTTTCAAAACATATGACTCAGAATTTTGAAAGATTTTCATTAATATATATGCAGATAAACTAAAGCGTTTAATCCTTAACACATTAATACTCAGATGAATGGCTTCCATATTTTCATTTAATCAGCCTGAAAGGTGCAGATACAGGCTATCAATACAATATGCATTTGCAAGGCATCTGTGACCACTCCACTTCCAACAGGGAAAAGAAGGCAAGTGCAGGTCAAAATGCAAATTTCCTCCTTCATCTGCAATTCACCCTGCACCACCTGGCCCCACCCTGCCTCTTCCTGGGAGTGATGATTACTCAGTACACCAGCAGCTGGACCCGACACCTACAGAGTCTCTGAGTTCTAGGAAGTTAAGAAAGCCCACGATAATTACAGGGACCAAATATTTCCCTATTTACACAGAAGCCAGAATTCTGATGTTTTTCTGAGAGACAAATGAAAAAACCCTCTGCATGTCACAGCTCCTTTTGCAAGAGACATGCCCAGACTGTGGCATTCCACATTTAACCAAGGGTGACGTTCAGATTGTCAGCTCCTGATACACAAGCAGCGAATCAGAGTGCATGAGCAATCTGTCTGGGCAGAGACAGTACTGATGGGGAAGGGGCAGTTCCAGGGATGACAGGCAGGTGAGCCTCACAACCCTCAACCAATCACAGTACCGTTAACAGGCAGGCAAGCCTATTGTTTTTAAGATATTCCAAATGAAAAAGGTTTTTGAGTTGTCTTTCATTTTGGCATCTGAGAAGATAAATAATAAGTAATCATATTCCCCAACTACAATCACTGCTCACTGCAACAGAGCTGTCAGAGCACTGGCTGGATAACAATGAGAGTCATTAAACTAACTCTTACAAGCACTACCCAGGTTTCCCATTAAGGAGACTTAACCCTTGGAATATGCCTGGCCTCCGACCCATAGTTACTCAATTAGCTATCTCCTTTAAATTCCCCCATTCACTGGTCTAGAGCTTGAGATCCTTTCCCGGAATCTCTCTGACAAGTGCAGACAAGGACAATGACAACTTCTTGAGGGAAAACTTGTCTGATGGGGAGCTCTGTTCAAAAGAAGGAGGGAGGCAAAGATCAACACGTTTGTGCTCCACCCCGGCCCCTCAGCAGATGAATCCTTGGTGGGTGGGCTACGACTAGAAGCACCAGGGGCCCCTACTCCTGCCAGAAAATCCCGAACTCTAGCAGCTTACATGTCCAAACACCAGGGCAGCAAAGGTACCAAACCACTCCTTTTCCTCCAGGACAGGGGCTGCCCCATTGGGCAGGATTATGGTTTTTTCTGAGGTTAGTCATTTAAGAAGTGTCCAAGAAATAACAACAAAAAACTAACAAAACTAGACAAGGAAATCAAGAACCTGGCCCGGCTTCACGTCACCTAGCTGCGCAATACTGATCAAATCCACTGTCCTTCTTTGGAACTCTTTCTGCATAGATAGTAGGAATTAGAGCCAGTGATCTCTGAAGGTCCATCTAGTTCCATCCCTCAATGACTCTGGGGAAGGGCTGGGAATATAGCTCAGTGGCTCAGGGCCTGCCTAGCAAGTACAAGGTGGTGAGTTTGACTCCCAGTATCAAAAAACAAAACAAACAAAAAAACTCTGATGACAGAAATCATTATAGCGGCAAGGAATAAACAAACCCATGGATTCTTAACCTGTCACTGGCCAAATGGGATTTGTGTCTTCTTCTGAGACAGTCAGGCACTTAAAAGTGGTTTCTGCCAAAAATTGTGGCTCTTCGTTTGGGCCTACAAATGCCCAATATGCAACCAAAAGCAGAACAAAATCTGACCTTCATTTTTTAGAACACTGGGTCAGATTCTTTTCAGTTCTGCAAATAGACAGATTAGTCATTTAAAGAGCATCTAAAAGATGGCAGAACAAGTTTATCTATCCTAAATTTACCTCGCCTATCTCATTACCCTTCAGAATGGAAGAAATCAGAGTACAAGATTTACAGAGACTTTCAGCCAGACCCAAAAATCTCCGCTGTCCTAAACCTATGTTATCTTAGATTCCAGCAAAGCCTCACATGACTGACACTGCCTTTAAAGCTATTAGGATACTTCCCACGGGAACTAAATTCACCCCTCAAGTCATGGGGATTTAACCTGAGTTTAAAATCCAAGACTGAGATAACTGACGGGACCCTGGCCCACCTCAGCGAGCCCTTAAAAGTGGTCTCCTAGTTTTGTGAATGGCCAGTCTGAACCCTTATCTCAGACTGTGTGTTCTCTAGGCACTCAAGCAGGAGTCTTTTCCCATTTGTTACTGGCTTGATCTTTGCCATGGCTGAATTTCCCATTATTTTCTCCTTGCATTAAAGCTTTTTTCACTATAAATTTGTGCTTATAATTTCCAGTATCGTAAAAGTAAGGACCCACACTAGCCAGTGACACTGGGACCCTTGAAGTAGCAATACTGCTTCCCATGTGCACTCCCAGCAACTCACAGTAGACGGGACATTCAAATGTCACCAATGGGCACCTCCTCTGACCACTCTACACCCAGGCCCCCGACCCCTGCACTGGAGCTCGCTGGCCTGAGAAGCTGTATTAGCCAGGGGCAGCCCTGCGCTGCTAAGCACTGGGACAAACACCTACCAAGAGTCAGCAGGGACACAAAGGGTCCATATGTACGACATGGTAATGGTGTAATAGTTACGGAAAATGCCCACCATGAATGTCTTCCATACCAAGCTCCCCCAATACTGTTGAGACCTACATTAAAACTGACATTAAAACCTACATTAAACATGGGCTCCAAATACCTGAATGCTACTTAATTATCTCACAATACCCAGTGCTTTTTTTTTTTTTTTAGACCTAGATCTTTGACAGACAGATCAAATATATATAAAATACATGAAATGCCAAAAGTTGAGAATTTCACCTGCGGTTAAAACCCTCCTGAGACAAGACCATGCCCAGGGTGTTCTGATGGTGACAGGCCAGAGGTCCCTGCACTCAGTTACCATTTTCTGCAGCACAGCAAGGAGGGGGGTGGTGCCCCAGGGCATGGGGAGCAGTGGCTCTTTGTGCAGCTTGGGGGACTGACCCAAAGACACAAGAGATTGCAGAGGCGGAATCAGCCATCCTGCAGGCCTGCCAGTCAGGCTGAATACTCCTGTGGTCTCTAACCTGGGAGTGGTGCCCCAGCCTGGGGCCCCCTGTCACTATCTGTAACAGGCTGGCTTCAACTTTCCCCATTAGGCTAATTTGGCTAAACTTTGATTTGTAGAAAAAGATTATTTTCCAAAGATTTTTTTTTTTTCTTTTTTTAACAATCAGACAAAGGACCACACTGGTTCTGTTGACCCAGGTGGCCCCACTGCGTAAGAGCACACTGGGCCACAGTTCTCTGGCCTCCCAGCCTATAAAGCTGCAACCCACATGGGAATCAGTATGGCGGCCAAGGTAGAACCAGAGGCTCACAGGAAAATGAGCAATCTGGGACCTAAGATAGCACAGGTCTCTGGAAAACTACATGACTACCATACCATATGCATCTAGTTTCATAGTTACTTTCTGGCTGAGCTTCCTGGTATGCCTGCCTTTTTATTTTCTTCTTTGTGGTTTGGGGATTGAACCCAGGGTCTTTGCACTGAGCTACATCCTTTGCCCTTTTATTTTGAGACAAGACCTTGCTGAACTGGACTGGGCTCCAACTTGTCTGATTCAGACTCCCAGATTGCTGGGATTACAGAAATGCACCACCATGAATGACTTAGGGCTCTATCACTTATAACACAGTGACCAGCATGGAGCCAGCACTGGCTCCCATCTGCCTTTGGGCTCACCTTAGCTGACCATTCCTAGAAAACCCCACCCTGTCTCTTTTCCTCCTGACTCTAAGACACTGTGGAATTTGCCTCGTTCCTAAGCAGACCCTCTTTCCTTTTCCAGCACCAGTAGCCAGCATTTCCTATAAAGAGCTGCAAAGGACCTGGAAATGGCCAAGACTGCATACCCTACCTATGTGACAGTGGATGAGTGATTTCATCTCTGAGCTGTTTCCCAGCAGTTCTCACCCTTTACTTTGACTCAGTTTTAATACAGCAGAAATTACCTTTTGTCATACTCCCAATAATATTATACTTCCACTAAACATATTTATTCCAAGATTAAAGTATATTACTTCTGAGGTGATGGTGGGAATATTCGCATACCCCTGTCCCTGGATCTCACTGAGATGGTATTTGAGCAATACTTAAGACAAAGTTTTCTCTGGGATTACCTGCAGCCCCCGCTGTGAGGTCAATGGCAGCTTGGATGGCAGGACTGGATTTCATGGCGTTGCAGGGTTCTGTCAAAGGCACCTCTCTGGAGTTTAGGATGGGCACTGCATCTCCCTGGAAGAGGACAGCATTCACCATTAGTCAGGCCTCTGTAAGTTACTGGACCTGAACTTCTGGGTTCTAGGAAGTGGATTTTACCTTGCTCCTATGGAATGGGGCACAAGGAGCTCCTAAGTGATTTGATTGTCAAACCCCATATATCAGAAATTCACTGTATCATACCACAGCTCTAGTAGCACTTCAACCAACCTTAGTGAAAACCAAGACATGAACACCAAATAAAGAAGCCAACTTCAGATATCCTGAGCCACACCAGACTAGCTTTTCAAAGACCTATGATAAAAATTCACTGTACTGACTTCATTCCAAGTTCAGGCAGCAGCCTGTGCTGGGTATGCAAGAGGAAGTCTGGAAAGCAGCATGAACAGTCAGGAGCTCTACTAAGTCACATGCACCTGGGTACAAATGTCTGCTCCACCAGCAAGGTGGCCCAGTGGGTCCCTGAAGCTGGGTGTCCTCATCTGTACAAGGTGAATGAAAACATGATACAAAGGCAACCACAGAGTTGGGTGTGGTGACACATGTCTGTGATTCCAGCACTCAAGTGGCTGAGACAGGAACATTGCAAGTTCAAGGACAGCCTGAGCTACAGAGTAATACCCTGTCTCTCTCCCCTCCCCCTGCCCTCACCCCACAGGTCAAAGGTAATCACAAACAGTGAGCATGTATCACCAGTTCTCAGAACCAGGCCCTACACACAGCACCAATAGCCTCCGTTCACCACTTCTGACTCCAGGCTTTTCAACAGTAAATGTGCACAAGATTCAGAATGCAGATACTGATTAAATAGGCTCCAGGTCACATGACAAATTCTGTGGTTGTGACATAATCCTAAATCAGGCTGACAAGCCCTGCCAACCAATTGCTTTTTGAGATGCAAGCCTGGCCAGCGCCCCAAACATGTTTGAAAAGACTCTACCTGAGGCAGTTGTTCAGCATTCAAATTACCAGGCCTCTGTCCAGATATTCTAAGCAATACATTTGGGTTGGATCCTGGAGAGTTCGAGGGAAAAAGTAATCTATTCCTCCAGACAAAAATCATCTATTGCTGAGATACAGACTTAAATATTAACCAGGGAGGAAAAAAGGTGGCTCCTTTAGATAGAAAATTAAAATGACCAATTCAGCAACCAGCTCCCTCACATTTTCAAACTGTGACTTATTCGTGAATACCAAGGAACAGTTTTCCTTTCTCATCATACTGTGGAAGCTGGTGGGCTGGATCAGGTAATGGCCAAGGTCCATTTGAACATAAGCATCATTCCACAGGTCAGCAGGAAATTATGGTAGCCATCAAAAAGCTTAACTTGAAACACTGTGCCAATGATCAAACTCCAAGAATCTTCCCTTTCTTTTTTTAAAATTCAAGAATTTTCCTTTACCAAAAAAATAAATAAATAAATAAAAGGAGGGGGAAAAAGTTAATACCAGCAACGACAAAAAACACAGTAGCTAAGAAAGCAACCACGTTTTCAAGTACAAGATCACAATTTATATTACTGATTGGCCTGTAATGTGCCATTACGGGTTAAGGGTTATTTCTTACTAGAAAAGGTTACCAGGTCTAATCTGTTGTCCTTTTCCAAACGGAAAGTTAAGTCAGAGGATAACAAGGTCCACTCCAAGGTCACAAAAATAGTGGCAGACAGCTCATTCAACTCAAAAATTGTCTTTCATATGATGCCCACAAACCACAGTATTCTAACACGATCTAAAAAACAAGATAAAACAAAATCCCCGTACACTCAACTCTGCATTTTTGGAGGGGGGAAAAGGCAACTGGGAAGCAGTCAGACATATACCCATGGTGGCCTCTCTCACCTAAAACTCAATTTCTTTCAATGTGGACACTTCTTTCCTAACTTGAAGGAAAGAAAAGCACATACACCATTTCCTCTGCGTGCGCTAAAGAGTCTGTATCCCTTCACTTAAACCAAATTTGAACACATTATAACCTGCATAGTGCTAGCAGAATTACAAATAGCTACTTGTCACATGAACCCAGAAAGTGTGCACGATTCAAATTATGCCTCGCTAGAGCTTGAAGACACGGGGGTCGGGAGCAAGCTGACCACCATGAATTCACACCGACTGCTGAGCTCGCTGTGCCACTTGGAATGGACACGCGCGGTCCCTCCAGCATCCAGGGCCACTCTCCACACTACACCAGCGCGCAGTGCAGAGACAGCAGCGCCAACCGCACTCCGCTCTCTGCTCCTTCCCGGGGAAACCGCTTCTCGGATGAAAGGAGAGGACGAGGCTACGTTTCCCACCAGCGCCGGCGAGCTGCCGCGGGAGGCTGCAGCCGGCCACCCGCCGCCCTCCCGCCGCCCTCCGAGCGCCACACCGCCCGCGCCCGCGGGGCCAGCAGGGGCGCTGCGCCCATTCAAACGCGCTCCGGGCCGGCCGGCGCGCTCGGGCGCGGGAGATCGCCGCCGCCCCGCCGCCAGGCCGGAGCTGCCCGCGGGCCCCGCGCCCCGACCGCCAAGAAGCACGCGCGAGCCCGGCCGCGCTCACCGCCGCGCCTGCGTGGTCCAGCTCGGCTCCGCGCTCAGCCCGGCGGCCCGGCCGGCCCGGCGGCCTCTTTACGTCCACGTCGGCCGCGCCCCGCCTCCCGCTAGGCCTCCCGCCCGCCCGCCCGCCCGCGGGGAGCGCTCTGCGCCGGGCGGGGGAAGCGGAAGTGGGCGCGGCGCGGGAGGCCGGGGCGCCCCGGGACGCTGAGTCGCCCAGGCGCCGGGCCCTGCTGCTCCTGGAGGCTGGAAGTTTAAATTCGAATCCAATCGGAAGCACCCAGATGACAGCGATGGAACTTACGTAAGCTTATTGCCAGGTTAGAAAACGAAAGTTTCCAGTCTCCTCCCCCAAAGAAGTGCATCCCTCCTGGCACACCGGAAAGTACAGACGAAAATTCAACTCAGCTCAGCTCCAGCTTCTCTGATCTTTGAATTCCAAGTGGATTTCAGATCATCTATGGTTCTCTGGCATTCTATTAAAAAGCTGAGAAAATGCAAAGAAGCCATGTATCCCAGAAGGGCCATCGTTTTTGTTCAGTGCCCCAGCAGCTGCTGAGCGGGAAGCTCCTGGTCCGTGCAGGACACCTACTCGGTGTTAGCACTCAGCTCACCTCCCCAAGGCTTTGCTTCCCCTTCCTGCGTCGATTTCATTTTTCTACGTTGTTTTCTCGGTTAAGATATAGTGGCAGGGTAGAGGGGTTGTTTTTTGTTTCTTTTGATTTTGATTTTTACAACCTCCAGCTTGTTTGGATGTGGTGTTGGATAACTGACCATTCATTGAAGCTATGGTTTGAGGCACAGGTCAGTGACTTAGGTGATACGGTATGTGCTAGGGCTGACCACGGCTGCACATGTGGCCGTAAATGGATGTTTTGAAGTGACCAGAGTGCCCTAAAGAGTGGGCCGCACATTAGTGTCAGCACTTCAGAATCTGACTTTGTGTAACACTTTAATAGAAACAAGCAGGAGTTTGGATGACTTATCTACAGTGAATGTCACACCTCACAACTTGGAACCGGTAGCCATGCCACCTGCCCCAGGGGCTTTTACTGATTAGGAAAAAGAACCCCAGGGGGACCCTAATGAAGAACAGACTCAAAGCTCCTGGTCAAAATTAGAAAGAAGCCTACTGGGCGGGGGATTTAGCTCAGTGGCATAAGTGCCTGCCTGGCAAGTGCAAAATGCTTGTGTCAACGTCTGTGTGTGACATCTAATGAATATTTAACCTCTTCTAAGCCTAGCCTGAGTGACTGTGTCCTTAGTCTTTGTGAAGCCCCTTTGCTCCTTGAGGTGCTGGAGCACTGTGCCTTAAGGTGCAGGTCTGCACCCTTGCTGAGCCGTCAGTCCCCAGCCTAAAGCTTTTCTTTGTCCTTCTTATAGCCTTTCTTCTGTCTTCCAAGGGCCGTTCAGATGCTGACTACTCGTAAGCAGTGCCTTCCGTCATTTTCCTCTCCTTTACCTCTTCTTGAGGAACCTCCGTCCTAACTCTGTAAAGTGAGTGACACTCAAGAGTTTGCTTAAGATTTTAACTGTCAAGAGCTACAAAGTAAGCTCTTCCGTACAAACCCTTTTCCATTTGTCCTCAAGCTGACTAGCTCTCAGGCTGATTTGTTCTCTGAACCTCATGCCTAGTATTTAAATGGCCGGTGCAAATGAAGGTCGGGAAGAAACCCAGTTGCAATGTTACAGGCAGCGAATTAGGAATTTTATAGACAATCAGATAGGACTTGTCCTTGAAGGAGTCAATGCAAAAGACCAGATGCCTTATCACTGTGAGGGAGACGGACACCTCCTACTGTGAGCCAGGTCTCAAGACAAAAGATGAAGCAAATGCACCCATATCCTAAGGATTGAGATTTTAAACAGTTCTCTATCACCTTGAGGAAGAAGCCAGGAGTCATCGCCCCAACCCCCTACAGGAAGAGTCACTGCTCCTTAAGAATGCCTACTTGCTATGTGACTTGCTTCCCCATTTGTCCCGATTAGATCAATTTTACCTGAGCAATTAATCTTATTGGTTAACTATAGTTCTGTCCCACCTTATGCCTGCCTTGTGAGTCTCCATGTTTTCCCCACCTTGGACCCGTCTCACCTTGTAGCTTTACACTCTAAAAGTCCCTAAATGGGCTGGAAGTTTAGCTCAGCAGAATAAGTGCCTGCTTGGAAAACCCGAAATCGTGAGTTCAGTCCCCAGTACCAAAAAATAAATAAATGAATAAATAGATAGGTAGATAGATAAAAGTCCCTGGAAAAGTCTTTGGCAACCCACTCAGGGTCCCTTCTGTCCCTCAGACAGAAGCTTTCTTTCTCTCAATGAATATACTCTGCTCTTAACCTCTGTTGTTCCTAAAATTCATTCTTCGATTTTAAATAACTGTATGAACTTACATCAGACATATAGTAGGTTGGGAGTTTCATTCCCTTATATCAGTAGCACTCACCCAAAATTAGATAGATACTAAAGGAAGAGCTCAGCTGGATTCAACAGAGCTCTGTTGAACTCAAAAAGCTGTGTTTTTACCCACCTTACTGTGCAGTAGTAACTCCAGAAGGCTTCCTTTACAAAGCTTTCTCTTTCCAGGATTATATCTCCCAGAGGGGACCTTAAGCTTTGCATCAGAGTGCTTGCCTAGCACGTGGAAGGCCTTGAGTTTCAGCCCTAGCACTGCAAGTTCTCCCTTTGTAATATTTTATAAAAATCACTTTAGTAGTGCAGAGCCCATCCCAACATTGGCAAAAAAAAAGTCTTTTTAAGAACACAGAAGCAAATAGCTGATAAACTGTTTAATATCCAGATGGAAAATCATCTGGTTGACACTAAATCAATAAAGTGTCTGTGAAAACTTTGTTTCAATAGTAATTCCCTAAAAATCATGCCACAGAGTGGCATGTTAGGCAGCTGAGTCGGTTAGAAATATTATAGGCAGTCAGACAGGGCTGGGCTCTCAAAGGAGCCAGCAGAAGTTCAGAGACCTTGCACCCTGGGAAGAGACAATCACCTCCTGCAGTAGGCCAGATCTCAAGACAATAGCAAAGCAAATACAACCACATCCTAAGGATCCACAGTCCAAATAGTTCTCCATCGCCCTGAGCAAGTCAAGAGTCAGCATCCCATCTCCTTACAGGAAGAGTCCCTGCTGTTAAGCATGCCCTCTTACTATGTGACTTGCTCCCCGATTTGCTCCTAATTAAATCAATTTTACCTGAGCAATTAATCTTATTGGTTGACCACAGTTCTGTCCCATTTATGCCCACCTTGCAAATTCCCATTTTCCCTCACCTTTGACCCATCTAACCTCATGATTTTACTCTATAAAAGTCCCTAGAAAAGTCAGTCTTTGGCAACTCACTTAGGACCCCTTCTGTCTCTCTCT